TAATGTTCCAACTTTTAAAAGCATAATGGATTATTATGTAATTAAAAATATTTTAAAAATATAATCCTTGCTTTATTTTCCCTGCATATTTCATTTTTTGAAGTTAGATTTATTGAGGTATAATTTACGTACAGTAAATTCATTTTTTTAAAATATATTTTATTGATTTCTTACAGAGAGGAAGGGAGAGGGATAGAGAGTTAGAAACATCAAGGAGAGAGAACCATAAATCAGCTGCCTCCTGCACACCCACCACTGGGGATGTGCCCACAACCAAGGTACATGCCCTTGACCGGAATCAAACCTGGGACCCTCGAGTCCCCAGGCCAACGCTCTATCCATTGAGCCAAAGCGGTTAGGGCAGTAAATTCATTTTTTAAAAATTATTTATTTTTTAGAGAGACACACACATACACACACATCAATTTGTTGTTCCACTTAATTATACATTCATCAGTTGATTACTGTATGTGACTTGACCAGAGAATTGAACTGCAACCTTGGTGTATAGAAACAACACTCTAACCAACTGACCCATCGGGCCAGGACCTTCACTTTTTTTTATCTTTTAGTTCAGTTGAGTTTTAACAAACTCATAGACATTTGTCTGTTATCACAATAAATCAAAATATCAAACATTTTCATCACCCCAAAAAGTTCCTTTGTCTCCTTTTCTAGTCACCCCCTCCACATATTCCCAATCTTGACACCCACTGTTCTCTGGCCCTGTAGTTTTGCCTTTTCCAGAATGGCATAAACATTCAAAGAATGAAACCACCATTTGCAACATGGATGGACCTAGAGGGTAAATATTATACTAAGTGAAATAAGTCAAACAGAGAAAGACAAATATATAATTTCATTTTTATATGGAATCCGAAAATCAAATGAACAAAGAAAACAGAAACAAACTCATACATAGAGAGAACAAACTGATGGTTGCCAGAGGGGAGGGACACATGGGAGACTGGGTGAAAAAGGTAAAGGGATTAAGAAGTGCAATTTGACCGAAACCGGTTTGGCTCAGTGGATAGAGTGTCGGCCTGCGGACTGAAAGGTCCCAGGTTCGATTCTGGTCAGGGGCATGTACCTGGGTTGCGGGCACATCCCCAGTGGGATGTTTCTCTCTCATCGATGTTTCTAACTCTCTATCTCTCTCCCTTCCTCTCTGTAAAAAATCAATAAAATATATACTTAAAAAAAAAAAGAAGTGCAATTTGGCTAAAGAGAGAGAGAAAGAAAGAACAGAAGGAAGGAAGGAAGGAAGGAAGGAAGGAAGGAAGGAAGGAAGGAAGGAAGGAAGGAAGGAAGGCAAATAGGCAGTTACAAAACAGTCCCAGGGATGTAAAGTACAGTATAGGGAATATAGTAAATAATATTGTAATACTATGTATAGTGTCAGGTAGCTACTAGGCTTATGGGGGGGGGGGGAATCACTTCAAAGTCATATAAATGTCTAACCGCTACACTGTACACCTGAAACTAATATAATATTGAATGCTAACTATAACAGAAAAAAATTTTTAATGGAATCATTCAGAAGTACTTCATTTTAAATATAGAAACAATAGGTATGGGGTAATTGTAAAGAAATCAAAACAGTACAGAATTTTAAGAATGCTTTCCCCAAACTACTATTGACAGTTTAGTGTTCAACTTACCCACTATTTTCTATGTATATATACATCATCTGAATTTTTATTTTTTTAAAGGTTTTATTTTTTAAAATGTATTTTTATTGATTTCAGAGAGGAAGAGGGAGTGATAGAAACATCAATGATGAGAGTCATTGACCATTAGCCTCCTGCTCGCCCCTTACTGGGGATCGAGCCTGCAACACAGGTATATGCACTTGACCAGAATGGAACCCAGAACCCTTCAGTCTACAGGACGACGCTCTACCCACTGAACCATACTGGCTAGGGCCATCACATAGATTTTTTAAAAAAATATATTTTATTGCTTTTTTACAGAGAGGAAGGGAGAGGGATAGAGTTAGAAACATCGATGAGAGAGAAACATCGATCAGCTGCCTCCTGCACACCTCCTACTGGGGATGTGCCCGCAACCAAGGTACATGCCCTTGACCGGAATCGAACCTGGGACCCTTCAGTCCCCAAGCCAACGCTCTATCCACTGAGCCAAACCGGTTAGGGCAATCACATAGATTTTTAAAAAACAAATAATCTAGACTGTTAGGCCTTTTACTTTCCTTAATATAGTATAATAGCCGAAACCGGTTTGGCTCAGTGAATAGAGCATCGGCCTGCGGACTGAAAGGTCCCAGGTTCGATTCCGGTTAAGGGCATGTACCTTGGTTGCGGGCACATTCCCAGTAGGAGGTGTGCAGGAGGCAGCTGATTGGTGTTTCTCTCTCATTGATGTTTCTGACTATCTCTCTCCCTTTCTCTCTGTAAAAAATCAATAAAATATATTAAAAAATATATATAGTATAATAATACGTGGAGGTCCCTGACCTCTACAAAGTAGAAGCTGCAGGAGAGAGTCATGTGAACAGCTTACGCTATAATAGGAAGCAGACTGTGTAGAAACTGGTGGAAGCCTAGATACAGGAACTGTCCACTGTGTCTGCTGGGGAATCCAACAGTCATCTCCAAAAAAAAAATTCTTTTGACCTCTGCTCAACCCTCCAATGCCTTCCCATTGCACAATAAATAAAATCCTACGTCCCCACTATAGCCTGCAAGGTCCTGCCTAAGCTGACCCTGTTGCCTGCCTGTCTAACCTCATTGCCTGCCTCTCCCCATCATCCATTAATCCCCAGCCAACTTGGTCCTTGAGTAAGCTGTTTTGTAGCTCATGGCATCACCCAGCTAGATAAATCTAGTTTATTCTGGTGTTCTCTCATTTTACATTTCTGTGTACTTGCTAGTAATGTTTCCCCACTTCAGATTGTAAAATCTCTAAGGATAAGGATATTGTCTGTCTTATTTACTTACACCCAGCACCTAGCAAAAAGCTGGGTGCACAATAAACAATCTGTTGAATGAATGTACTTTTAAACCAGGTCTCAAAAAGATGGACAGGAGCGCAAAAATAAAAAAAATGGTATGCTAGCCAGTGATCAGCAAACTGCGGCTCGTGAGCCACATGCGGCTCTTTGGCCCCTTGAGTGTGGCTCTTCCTAAGCCTTAGGCGTACCCTAATTAAGTTAACAATGTACCTACCTATATAGTTTAAGTTTAAAAAATTTGGCTCTCAAAAGAAATTTCAATCGTTGTACTGTTGATATTTGGCTCTGTTGACTAGTGAGTTTGCCGACCCCTGTGCAGCAGCTAGACTATTAGCATGAAGACAGCAATGGCAGGGAAGTAAGACTAGGAAGATGGCTTGGATCCTAATGGTGAAGATTCCGTAAATTTGGATTGTGGCAGTATTAGGGTGGATTGGAAATTTGGTGGGACGAGGACGGGAAAATATAAAGACTAGAAGGCAGGTTACTGTACTCATCCGGCTGGAAGGCAGCTCTTCTCCATTCCTGCTGGCAGTTACAGTCACTTGGTCTGGGCTGTCACGGCCCTTTTTACATTCCTTTATGTTTCACCATCTTAGTGTGGGGACCTGGGCTCCACAGGGACTCAGGCTGGAACCAGGTCTTGTTTACAAGTCCAGCATCTGCTAAACGCAGCATTTCTCACCAAGCGTTTGACCGATGAACTAACGGAAAGAATCGGTTTAATGGTTAGAGGACAGGGTTTGGAGAATTCTGAGTTCAAACAGAGACTCAAAACTTATTCACTAGGACCTTGCTTTATCTCTCACAGGTTTCCTATACTCCTTATTTTATTTTCCATTACCATTTATCCCCCCTATCCCCTCTTCCACCTCCACTCACCTCACAGGTTTCCTTTAAACCGTTAAAAGATTTACCCGGAGCCCGTGTGGCTCGGTGGTTGAGCCTCAGCCTCTGAACCAGGAGGTCACGGTGGGATTCTTGTGGGGCACCTGCCGGGCCAGCGCCTTGGGGGGTGGCCATCCATGATTCTCTTTCATCATTGATGTTTCTATCTCTCCCTCTCCTTTCCTCTCTGAAATCAATAAATATGTTTTTTAAAGCTTTCTTAATTATATATTAAAAAAAGGCCGAAACCGGTTTGGCTCAGTGGATAGAGCGTCGGCCTGCGGACTGAAAGGTCCCAGGTTCGATTCCAGTCAAGGGCATGTACCTGGGTTGCGGGCACATCCCCAGTGGGAGATGTGCAGGAGGCAGCTGATCGATGTTTCTCTCTCATCGATGTTTCTAACTTTCTATCTCTCTCCCTTCCTCTCTGTGAAAAATCAATAAAATATATTTAAAAAAAAAAAAAAAAAAGATGTACCAGAGGTGAAGGGCTTGGCAAAGTCCTGACGGCGCTCAATTATTATTATTATTAATTGCCAATTCACAGACACACACTGTGTCTCTGGTCCTTAGGTTCTTCCCCACCCCCTCCCCCCCGCCACACGCACACGGGGTCCAACAGGATCCCTACGGGTCCTGCTATCACTACAAAGGCACCATCCAAAAATGGCGACCTCTCACCCATAAGAGGGAGCGATATATACGACAGGCGGAGTCGGCTAGAAACAACTAGGGCAGGGTCCCTAACGCTTCCGGAAGGCGCTGAGCCTGCCCAGGCTGCCAGCCACCACCACCGGGAAGAAGCCGAGGCGGCGGGACTCATCCACGGCCCCGCACCGCGACCACGTGTCCCAGGCCTGTCTGCGCCTGCGCAGCTCAGGCGCGCGCCCGCCGGCCGGAAGAGCCGCGCGTTTCCGGGTTGGAGGCGGGGAGCGGTGCCGGAAGTACTGGGGAGGGCCGAGCAGTCGGACCGGCTGCCGAGACGATCGCTTCACTGGGGCAGTCTCCGCATATCATGGGGAGATAGACCTGCTGCCTGTGAGTCTTGGGCCCTGGCAGTGGAGGAAGAAGAGCGGGAGGAGGGAGTCAGCACCCGGACCCACAGTGGGTCAGTGTCTGAAGAGGCAGATTGTGGCGGAGACGGGACTGTGAGGAATCAGGCTCTTGGGACGGGACTGAAGGGATCGGGGACCGGAGAAGAGGCGGCTGTAGGGACCCGGGCTCCAGGCGGGACTTAGGGAACCGGGGGCAGATGCGAGTTCTCCGGCACCTGAGGGAAAGCGGTCTCAGAGGGACAGGATTGTGAGGACCCGCGCTCCTCAGAGGAGAGGGGTCGGAGCGGAGCCGGGCGTGCGGACCCGGGCTCCTGAGGTAAAAGCGGAGCTGGGAGGACTTGGACTCCTGCGAGGCAGAAGCGGGACAGGGAAGACCCATGCGCCCGAGGACTCAGCAGCAGAGCAGCGAAGACTTAGGTCGTTGAGGGGCGGAAAAAGTAAGAGAACATTTGGGTTTGGGAGGAACAGGAGCGGTCAGGGAAGACGGGCTTCCCCGGATGCAGGATCGGGGCTTGGAGGCTCCGAAGTAGCGGAGGGAACGCAACTGTGAGGACCCGAACTTGTGAAAGCGGAGAGGCTCGGGGGCCCTGGCCATAGGAACAGCCTCTCCGGGGAAAGGGGAGAGTTTGGAGGAGATGTAGGCATCCATTCCCCGCCCCTCAGGTTCTCTGAACCCAGAGCGGTGAAGGATGTGTTGGTGGGAAGACGACGCCTTCGCTCTGCCTCCTTGGCTTTTGCCAGGCTTTTCTCGTATCAGATACTTAATCTAGGAAGCCCGCATGCAAGCATCTTCGTTCTCTGCATCATTCTTGCGAAAGTCCGATGTGAAGTTGAAGCAGTTTGAACTCGGTGCTATACTTGACAAGTGCTTTAAATTCCATTCCACTCAACCGAGACCTCAGAGATGGAAGGAAGGGCCGAAAAGGTCATCTTTAAAAAAAAAAAAAAAATTCCCATTTGACATGTAAAGAGGGCTGAGGATCACAGCGGAGCAGTTTTGAGTAGGTCACGATGTTGGAGCAGCACCCCACTGTGCATAGCAGAGAGGAGATGCTTGGCTAATATCCCTAGAAAACATGCTTCTGGAATCCGCCCTGACTTCAGACCCTCAGGGGGAATTTTCCCGGATTCTTACTACTTTATTTGTAGTCTTGTTACTGTGTTGACATTGATACAGTGAATGTCACTACCAGTGCAGACACCTTTAAATGAAGCTCATCCCTCCCCCCAAAATATGTAGAAAGCCATTTAGGAAGTTGCAGATCCACAAGCGGCACCCTGTATTTTTAGCATAAGCACTCGCCGGAGATGGCTGCTTTTAGGGAAGGTTGGCGGGGAGACTTGGACCAGTCTCTCGTCTCTTCTTCAACAGTGTCTTGGACTGAAACCTGCTCAGGCTAACCAGGCACCATCATAAAAGCACCTTCAAGGATTATGCCATTTAATTACCACTTACAGCCCCACACGTAAGATACTGTTTGTCCCATTGTACCGAGAAGGAAATTGGTTCAGAGAGGTTAAGTACCTTGCCTGAAATCACGAGGACTCAGTGGTCCAGCCCCAGTCAAACCCAGTTATGTGTTTGACTAAAAATTTTTTCTACTTTTCTAAGTGGATTCCTCTTCATGTCTGAGTTTGCCCATCAGCAAAATAGAAGGAATAGTTGTACAAAGCATTTCATCGAACGAAAGCACCCTTCCTCCTTAAGACTCAGCATCCAGTACTATAACTTATTAGGGTACTTATGTAGTGTGGTATTTAAGATTGAAATCCCTGTGTTTTAATTTGTATTATTTTTATCTTTTTTTCCTTTTTAAATTTGTGGGCTTTTAAAGAAGCATAGATATTCAAGGTAGAAAAACAGGACCCGAATAGAACTTTTTGGCAGGCCAACAAAGGCCAATTTGAAACAAGGGCTTAAACCGGGTTAACTTTACAATTGTAACATGAGCTAGATGATTGGGGAAATTGGGCTAACTTAGTTGAAACTATTTTTTTCCCAATGAGTTAGCCTGTGCTATTTGCAAGCGCCTATACTGTATGTCAGTGATCAAAACTTATACCAGATTATAAGATTAATAATAATAAAAGGCTAATAATATGCAAAGGGACTGAACAGCAGAACGACCAGTCACTATGATATGCACTGGCCACCAGGGTGCAGACGCTCAACGCAGGAGCTGCCCCCTGGTGGTCAGTGCACTTCCACAGGGGGAGCGCTGCTCAGCCAGAAGCCAGGCTCACTGCTGGCTGAGTGCAGTGGCGGTGGGGGCAGCGCTAAGAATGTCCGACTGACAGCTTAGGCTCGCTCCCTGAGGGCTCCCGGACTACCAGAGGGTACAGGCCAAGCTGAGGGACCCCCCACCCTCCTGCATGAATTTCGTGCACGGGGCCTCTAGTAAGATTAATAAGCATGCCCATGCCACCATTTCAAGGTACTTAATGGTTTAATGATAATTTATTACTGAATTAATATCCTCATCTGCATTTAAAAAATGTACTTATTTCACTCACTGGTGGCTCTAGTATTGATTGAGTTATTATAATAGGATTTCAAAGTACCTGATCAGAAAATCATTGTGTTAGTGCAGATATGAACATGGAACATATTACTTTTGACCAGAGGTCTTTGTGGAAAGCCCCAAAATACTTTGGAGGCGACATATCAACAGTACTTACAGTCTGTACAGTGAAACAGATGTGTTGGAGGCAGAAGACAAACTTTGAACTCCGTACATATGAGCTTAATTTAAAATCTTACACACTAATTGTTAGAGCTAGAATGGACTTTAGAATTTGCCTGTAGAAACTCTGGTCACAGGGAGCTCAACTCAGTGGCAGAAGTAGTATGGTAGCACCTCCTATAAGTCTTGTAACCATTTGCCACTACTGATTTATTTCAATCCACTTCCTTTTTCTAATGTCTATAGTCATAAAATAGTTATAAGATGCCTTTTAGTTTTAATACTCTGATCTTTATAACTAACATTTAGAAGCTGAGAGCATATATTAGCAAACATGTTTAAAACATGTTCTTTGTACCACACACTTTAACTGCTTTAGATACATAAATTTAGTGAATTCTCACAACAATCCCATAAGGTATACTTTATGATTAATTCCACTCTAGAGATGAGGAAATTGAAGCAGAAAGAGATTAGGTAAATTGCTCAAGGATGTAAGGTTAGTATGTGTCAGAATTGGTACTTGAACCCAGACACAGTCATCAGAGTCCATGCCCTTGACCACTGTACTGTACTGCCTTTGTATTAAGTCAAAACCACCTAAATAGGATCAAACTAGTCCAAAAACTGGTGAGGGAAAACCTATATTTCTCTTGCTCTCCCGTCTCACAGACTGCAATTAATTGATTCCTTTTGGTTCATTTAGGCTGGGAAATCTGAGCTCTTTTGGTTACATCTAGAAGCCAGTGAGGAAATAAACAACCAAGTAGAAAACCCAGTCATTAAGTCAAGTCATGCACCACAGTGATAGGGCTTTTATGCAATCCAGCTGATAGTCCCCTTGTCTCCGTATTTTGTTTAAATAATAACTTTCTAAACAGTTCAAAGGTAAAAGGGTGTTAAACCCAATTTGGCCTTCTATTCTCCTATTTTCTTCATTTTAAAAAAAATTCTATTAATGGAACAGATGCAGAGAGAAGGCTAGGTCTTTTCCCCCCCCCCCCCCATGAGAAGGCCAGGTCTTGTGACTACTGCAAAGTCAACACTGGTTTCCTACCTTCTGAAAAATCAGATCCTTTTATTAGAATAATAGCATTGCAATTGGATTTCTGTTTAAGGAAAAAAGTTGCTAAAAGCAAAAATAGGGCTTTCGATCCTCAGTCGATTAACAACAGTTTAAATGTGATGGGTTACTCGCAGCCATAGAATCTTGTTTTGATAAAATTATTAACTGCTTTTCAAAGTAGATTACTGGGGCATGGACTTTCTGGACTTTGTGAATCCCATAGCATGTGATTTCCACATAATAGGTGCTAGTATGGGTTTACTATAATAATGGTTCTCTCAAACTTTCCCAGAGTTAATGCCTGTTTTTACACAGCAGTACATCCCTATCTCTTGGCATTTTAAGGACGTGAGAGTTACAAATTTGAGTAGCCCAGAGGCAACCATGGTACATTACATAATGGAATTCAGATTATTATTGGTCACTTCATTCCATTATACTTGGTCAACCTCATCCACATTGGACTTGATGAAAATTGTCAGTAAACAGATCATTTGGGGAGCCATTGATCATTCTGATCAGGTTGTGATACTTTGTTTTTTAAATTTATGTACCACAAAATTCTCCCTTTGGTACCATAGCACTCTGGTTACTTCTCAATTCCACCACCCCCAAAATTTCCCTCATGCTGCTCCTTTGTAGATAAACCTCCCACCCAAACCCCTGGCAACAACTGATCTGCTCTCCATCCATATAGCTTTGTCTTTTCCAGAGTGTCAGTATTACCTGTTTCTTCAGAGGAAATAAACCAAATAATAGTTTTTTTTGAATCTTTCTCATAGGTAACATATATGCACATAGTGCAGAATTTAGGGTATACCATGAAAAGTAAGTCTTCTCCCACTTTGGTCCCATAGGCCACCCAGATATTACCATTCCTCCACCTCCCCAAGCAACCACTTTTATCCGTTCTTATGTATCTTTCCAGGAATAATTTATGAATTTACAATTGTGTGTCTGTATGTTTTAGTAAATGATAGCAAATTATTCTCACTATTCTATACCTTGCATTCTCATTGAACAATGTTTATTGGAGATAATTTCATGAGTGTCCTCTCATTTATTTTTTAAGTTCTTATTATAGTTTTTTGTTTTTTAATTGATTTCAGAGAGGAAGGGAGAGGGAGAGAGAGATTGAAACATCAATGATGAGAGAGAATCATTGATCGGTTGCCTCTTGCATATCCCCTACTGGGGATTGAGCGTGCAACCTGGGCATGTGCCCCTGACCAGAATCGAACCTGAGACCCTTTAGTCCGCAGGCTGATGCTCCATTCACTGAGCCAAACCGGCTTGGGCTCATTTTTTAAATATATTTTTATTGATTTCAGAGAAGGGAGAGGGAAAGAGAGATAGAAACTTCAATGATGACAGAGAATCATTGATCGCCTTCCTCCTGCATGCCTCCCACTAGGGACCGAGCCTGCAACCCAGGCACCTGCCCGACTGGGATTTGAACCATGACCTCCTGGTTCATAGTTCTACGCTCAACCACTGAGCCAGGCCAGCTGGGCTAGACATTTAGATTTTTATGTAATTGAACATATCAGTAATTTATTTTATGGCTCCTGAGTTTTTGGCTATCTTAAAACTCTGAGGTATCTGGTAGATACTCTCGAGAATATTTTTTTCTAATTTTTAAAAAGTGAGGTAATTTTAGATTTATATGCAGTTGCAAGAAATAATTCAGAGAGATCCCTTGTACACTTTGCCCAGTTTTCCCCAATGGTAACATTTTGCAAAACTGTTACGTAATATGACAACCGGATATTGACATTGATACAACCTACCAATTTTACTCAGATTTCCCCAGTTTCAGTTATACACTTTTGTTTGTGTGTATATGTGCATTATCTCATACAATTTAATCATTCGTCATTTATTCATCACTACAGTCAAGATACTGAGCAATTCCATTACAACAAGGGTCTCTGATATTGCCCTTTTATAACCATTCCCACTTCCCTCTCATCCTGCCTCTGACAACCTCACTAATCTGTCCTCTTTCTAAAATTTTGTCATTTCAAAAATGTTCTATATAAATGGAAACAAACAATTTGTAGTCTTTTTTGATTGGTTTTTGCTCTGCGTAATTCTCTGGAGGTTTATCCAAGCTGTGTACATAAATAGTAGTTTAGTTCTTTTTTTTTTTAAATATATTTTTATTGATTTCAGAGAGGAAGGGAGAGGGAAATAGAGTTAGAAGCATCAATGAGGATAGAGAATCATTGATCAGCTGCCTCCTGCACGCCCCCTTTTGGAGATCAAGCCCACAGCAACCCAGGCATGTGTCCTGACTGGGAATCTAGCCATGACCTCCTGGTTCATAGGAAGACATTCAACCACTGAGCCACCCCAGCCTGGCTAATTTGATTCTTTTTATTGCTAAGTAATATTCTATGGCATGATGTACCACAGTTGGTTTAACCATTTGCCTGTTGAGAGACATGTGAGCTGATTTCAGTTTTTGGCTATTACAAATAAAGCTACTAGGAACATTCATATACAAGTTTTTGTGTGAACATAAGTTTTCACTTCTCTAGGACAAGTGCCTAGGATTGCAGTTGCTTAGTCATATGGTAGTTGCATGTTTAGTTTTTTAAAAATAAACTTTTTAAAAAAATATATATTTCTTTATTGATTTCAGGGAGAAGGGGAGAGATAAAGAAACATCAATGATGAGAATCATTGATTGGCTGCCTCCAGCAGGTCCCCTATGGGGGATTGAACCTGCAACCCAGGCATGTGCCCTTGGCCAGAATCAAACCTGGGACTCTTCAGTCCACAGGCCAACGCTCTATCCATTGAGCCAAACCAGCTAGGGCTAAAAATAAACTTTATTAAGGTATAATTTGCATATTATAAAATGTAGGCATTGTAAATTTATGGTTCTATGAATTTCGATAAATGTATGCAGCTATGTAAGTGTCACCCCACTCAAGATATAGAACTTTTATATCACCTTAGAAACTTCCCTCATGCCCCTCTTCAGTCAGTCCCTGCCCTGTCTATCAGTAGAGATTAGTTTTATCAGTAACTAGAGGCCCAATGCATGAAATTCATGCAAGAAAAAGCCTTCCTTCCCCGGCTGCTGGCACTGGCTTCCCTCAGGCACCTGGGACCCGGGCTTCCCTCGAAGGCCCAGCTTCATCTGGAAGGTTATCCGGAAGGCTGCCTGGTCTAATTAGCATATTACATTTTTATTATTATACATAGAATTTCATACAAATGGAATCATGCAGTATTTTTTCTTTTCTTTTTTAAATATATTTTATTGTTTTTTTACAGAGAGAAAGGGAGAGGGATAGAGAGTTAGAAACATCGATGAGGGAGAAACATCGATCAGCTACCTCCTGCACACTCCCCACTGGGTATGTGTCCGCAACCAAGGTACATGCCCTTGACCGGAATCGAACCTGGGACCCTTGAGTCCACAGGCCGATGCTCTATCCACTGAGCCAAACCGGTTAGGGCAGTATTTTTTCTTTTGAGACTGGCATTTTTCCCCACTTAAATATGTTAAGATGCATCACTGTTGTTTTGTGACTTAGTAATTTTTTTTAAATAAACTATGTCTTAGAAAAGTTTTAGAAAAATTGCAAAAATAGTACCTTATACCTACATCATTAGCATCTTACATTAGCATGGTACATTTGTTGTAATTAAGTAAAGTCTATAATTTATTCAAATTTCATTTTACCTCTAATGTCCTGTCTCTATCCCAGGATTCCACCCAGGATACCACATTACATTTAGTCTTCAGGTATATTTAGGCTACTCCAAGAGTACCTTCTTAGATTTTTAAGAAACTGCAAAGTAGTTTTGGTTTTTGGTTTTTATTTTAGAGAGAGAGGAAGGGAGAGTGTGAGAGAAACATTGATCAGTTGCCTTCTATTTGTGCCCCAACCAGGGATTGAACCTGCAACTTCATTTTAGTTTTAACTTGCCTTTCCTTAATGACCAATGATGTTGAACATCTTTTCATGTACTTATTTGTCATCTATATATCCTCTTTGGTGAAATGTCTGGTTATGTCTTTTGTCCATTTTCTAATCAAATTACCTTTTTGTTACACTGTTGAGTTTTGAGAGTTCTTTATACATTCTATTTGGAAATGAATTATTTGTTTGTAATTATTTTCTCCCAGTCTGTAGCAGAAAGAACCAAACCCTATACATACAATGGTATTTTTTTTAATATATTTTATTGATTTTTTACAGAGAAGAGGGGAGAGGGACAGAGAGTTAGAAACATCAATGAGAGAAATCGATCAGTTGCCTCCTGCACACCCCCCACTGGGGATGTGCCCACAATCAAGGTACATGCCCTTGACCGGAATCGAACCCGGGACCCTTGAGTCCACAGGCCGACGCTCTATCCGCTGAGCCAAACCGGTTCGGCACAATGGTATTTTCTATACATACTTTCCTATGCTAAATTATAATTTATAAATTAGGCACAATAAAACATTAAAAACAATAACTAATAAATAGGACAATTATAATAAAAGTTAAGTGAATGTGGTCACTCTCTCAAAATATCTTATTGTACTGTACTTATTTTCTTCTTGTGATGGTGTGAGATGAGGTGGGTGATGATACAATGCATATGTGATGAGATGAAGTGAGGTGAATGACATGAAGTGAGATGAATGACGTAAGCACTGAAATAGCATTAGGCTACTACAGGATAACTTGAACATAAGCACTGTGATACTATAATAGTTGATCTTATAACCCAGATGACTACCAAGTGAGTAAGTGCAGGTAGCATACACAGTGTGGATATGCTGGACAAGGTGATAATTCACAACCTAGGCACAATTGAGTGGGGCTGCACAAGACTTCATCACACTATGCAGAAGGGCAGGTAATTTAAAAGTACGAATTGCTTATTTCTGGAACTTTCCACTTAATATTTTCAGACTGTGGTTGACAGGAACTAGAAAGTGAAACCTTGGATAAGGGGGCGGTGGGGGAACTACTGTATTACTATGTTAACAATCTTTTCCTGCATGATTCTTCCAGTGGTAGCATTTATGGGCAAGGGAGAAGTCATGGACTGTCAGTGATACTGATGCTCTGCTGCCCCCCTCAGCCGGCTCTTGGCCAACAAGTTTCTCTTGATCATTTAACCAGTGCAGTTAGTTGCTTTTATTAAGGGTAAGCCAGGGGAAGGTGTCATATCAAAAAAGTGTGTTGGGGAAGAACTCAGCAATAGGGGCAATGGTAGAACAGATGAAAATATTCATTCAGGTTTCTAAGCATTACCAAGTTCTGAAACCATTGCCATGATTTCTGCAGGTTAAAATTCCACAATTTTGGCTAATTATGGTATTTCATATCCTGCTAGTTTATTCCTAACAATAGAGCATTCATTTTATAGGAAGAGAGTCTATGTTATTATAATCATTAATTAATTTAAAAAGTTGTATATGAAAGAGATGGAGATGTTTTTCTTGGTGCCTAGAAGGGATAAGGAGATGTTTCTCTGCATACAGTTTGCCTGGCTCCTAATTGATGAAGATGTGCCAGGCCGTGGGACTGAAATGGCTCTGTGGCAAGGGTGGTGCTTGATGTTAGTTGTTCATTTACAGGTAGCTTTTGAAAATGGCTGCCTCTCATTTCACCGGGCTCACAGCTGTTGCTGATGTAATTAAAGATCTAGACACTCAGATAGCTGTAAGTAAGTTCTTTGAAGCCACTGTGAAAGGAACATGGTGAATGTGCTTCTGATCTTGGTGACACAACAGCTGATGTCACAGATTCAACCGCCTGGCTCTAAAATTTAGGCGTCCCAGCTGCTCCAGGCTAGGGACTCTGCATGTACTTAAAGATTGCTAACACTCAGAGAAAGTTTGCTCTTGATGACAAAAAAGATTTTCACAATTGCTAAAAATTGTGTTTACTAGGTATAGCTCTGACATAGAGTTAAGCATGTTTTGAAATGCCAAAATGAACTAATCTGTTTTCTGAAGTTTTGTGATTGGGTTTTAAGTATGTGACTGTGCCATGATTTATTTGAAGTTAACATTATTTGATGCTCAAAAATAATGCATGTAGTACTTAACCATGTATTCTATTTTTACAAAGTCTTCAAAAATGTCTTGCTCATTCTAGTTTATTTTTGCACATAAGATTCCTTGTTTCATATACTTTCTTATTTCAATTTTGTGGACTATTTAGCTTTTGGAGAAGAGATGGTTTCTAAATATCAGGTGAGAGCAATGAATATTCTTCATTCCCTCCATTTTTAATGTGAAGGTATCAAATAGTCACTATTCCTGATATACTGAAGACCTTTCAAAGTCTGGTAGACCTCATATAATTTTACTTTCAAAACTCATCCTCTATTACAGGTCCTCTGGAGCTAATCTTTGTGTTTGCCTTCCACAGTTGATTGGTCTTGGTCCTCATACCTCCAGGAAGAAACAGGATCTCGATAAGCTCTATGAGCTGAAGTCCAAAGCTCGGCAGATTATGAACCAGTTTGGCCCCTCAGCCCTCATCAACCTGTCCAATTTCTCATCCATAAAACCAGAACCAGCCAGCACCCCTCCACAAGGCTCCATGGCCAATAGCACTACAGTAGTAAAGATACCAGGCACGCCTGGGTCTGGAGGGCGTCTCAGCCCTGAAAACAATCAGGTATCCTCTTACTTTTTGCTCTCTGTAGTCTTTTCTTTTTGAACCAGTAATACTTTGAGAGATGTCCATCTCAGATGCTGCCTCTTCCTCTCACTGAAAAAGGTCTTTTCCCTCCTTGGACTCCTGAAGTTCTATATTGACCCAGCCGGTGTGGCTAAGTGGTTGAGCATTGACCTATGAACCAGGAGGTCGTGGTTCAGTTCCTGGTCAGGGCACATGCCTGCGTTATGGGCTCGATCCCCAGTGTGGGGTGCGCAGGAAGCAGCCGATCAACGATTCTCTCTCATCATTGATGTTTCTCTCACTTTCTCTCTTCCTCTCTGAAATCAATAAAAATATATTTAAATAAAAATAAGTAAAATAAAATAAAGGAGGTACCGTGAACCAAGCAGGTAGGAAGAAGGGTGGAAGAGCATGTCCAAAGCAGCAGAGGCACTGTACAATTTGTGGTGGTCAGAAAATGGCAAATTATTTACTGTAGAGGGAAAGCGAGGTACAGTGAGAAAGAGAGATGAGACTGCAATAAATTGACAGATGTTGGCCTCTCTTCCAAACTGCTCTTTCTGCCTTTCCCTAGGCTACTTCTGTCTTTTTGTTGATGTTAATCCTCACCTGAGGATATTTCTCCATTAATCTTTTAGAGAGAGTGGAAGAGAGAGGAAAAGAGAGAGAAACATCGATGTGAGAGAAACACATCAATTGGTTGCCCCCGACAAGGGCCCAGGCTGGGGAGGAGCCTGCAACCAAGGTACGTACCCTTGACCAGATGGAACCTGGGACCCTTTGGTCTGCAGGCCAGCACTCTATCCACTGAGCCAAACTGGCTAGGGCGGAGGCTACTTCTGTCTTGAGAGTGTAATCTTACAGCAATGTCACCAGATAGGCCAGACTGTTAACTCTTTGGAAAGCAGAAAACTAAAACCAACAAATTTACAACCTTTCTGCATCAGAGCATGAGTCCTTTTGTTTGTTTCCTTGATACTTGGCTGAAAACTCTTCTCCTAATTAACTTTAGGTGTTGACCAAGAAGAAATTACAAGACTTAGTAAGAGAAGTGGATCCTAATGAACAATTGGATGAAGATGTAGAGGAGGTAAGAAGGGGCTGGGTACCACAGAGGGTATGTCCCTGAGAGCTAGTATATAATATAGTTTCTATGGTGAAGAGCACAGACTTTAGAAGCAAATCTGAATTTGCATCTTGGCTCTGCCAGTTAACAGCTTTGTAGCTGTGGATAAATTACTTAAGCTTTCTAAGACTTAGCTTCCTCCTGTGTTTATCTACGTGGTTATTATGAGGGTCCCATGGAATAATTATACAAGACACTTTATACTTAACAGCTGCTGCTACTTTTGCCTGTCAAAAAGGACATAGTCTGCTTCTTAGGGGCAATCACAATAGTTTTAGTTGTTCCTAGATTATTCCCCGTATTTCTAAGTAATATACTTAAACATATACTCTTTGATTCATTAATTTTTTTAAGATTTAAAAAAATATTTTTAATTAATCTTTTAGAGAGAGAGGAAGGGAGAGGGAGAGAGAGAGCCTGCACACCCCCTACTAGTTATCAGGCCCACAGCCCGGGCATATGCTCTGACCAGGAATCAAACCAGGGACCCCTCAGTTCATGGGATGATGCTCAACAAACTGAGCCACTCTGACCAGGCTTAAAAGATTTTTCAATTGATTTTGAGAGAGAGAGAGAGAGAGAAAGAGAGAAAAAAACATCAATGTGAAAGTGAAACATTGATTGGCTGCCTCCTGCACGCCCTCCACCAAGAATCAAGCCTGCAACCCATGCATGTTCCCTGATTAGGACTCAAACTGGCAACCTTTCTTTCGTGGTCCATGGGATGATGCCCAATTAACTGAGCCACATCAGCCAGGGCTGATTCATTAATTTTATAATAGTCTACTAGAGGCCCGGTGCACAAAAATTTGTGCACTTGGGGGGGAGGAGGGGTCCCTCAGCCCGGCCTGTGCCCTCTCGCAGTCTGGGACCCTTCGTGAGATAACGACCTGCTGGCTTAGGCCTGCTCCCAGTTGGCAGAGGGCAGGCCCAATCCCTAGGTGCAGCCCCTGCTCAGGCTCAGAGCAGGGCCGATTGGGGAGTTGGGGCGCCTTCCCCTGTCATGCACAGAGCAGGGCAGATTGGGAGGTTGCGATGCCACCCTCAGTCATGCTCAGGGTAGGGCCGATTGGGGGGTTGGGGCACCGCCCCCTGTCACACTCAAGGCAGGGTCGATGGGGAGGTTGCGGCGCCACCCCCTGTCATGCACAGAGCAGGGCCCATCGGGGTTGGGGCTCTGTACCCTGTCACGCACAGAGCAGGGTCAATCAGGGGGTTGGGGAGCTCCCCCCTGTTATGCACAGAGCAGGGCCGATCAGGGGGTTGAGGAGCTCCCCCTGTCACTCACAGAGTAGGGCCGATAGGGAAGTTGGGGCACCGCCCCCTGTCACACTCAGGGCAGGGCGGACCAGGGGGTTGGGGCGCCGCCCTCTATCACCCACAGAGCAGGGCCGATCAGGGGGTTGGGGCGCCGCCACTCTCACACTCAGGGCAGGGCCAATGGGGAGGTTATGGCTCTACCCCGTCACACACAGAGCAGGACCCGTGGGGTGAAGGGGTTGGGGTGTCGCACCCTGTCACACACAGAGCAGGGCCGTTCAGGGGGTTGAGGCGCCGCACCCTGTCACACACAGAGCCGCAGGGCGATCAGGGGGTTTGGGCGCTGCCCGCTGTCACGCTGATCCCGGTGCTGGGAGGCATATTACCCTTTTACTATATAGGATAGAGGCCTGGTGCACATGTGGGGGCCAGCTGGTTTGCCCTGAAGGGTGTCCTGGATCAGGGTGGGGGTCCCCACTGGGGTGGCTGGCCAGCCTGGGTGAGGGGATGATGGCTGTTTGCAGCTGGTCACACACCCTTCAGGGTGGGGGTCCCCACTGGGGTGCCTGGCCAGTCTGGGTGAGGGGATGAGGGCTGATTTCAGGCCGACTGAAGCTCCCAACTGCTCCTTTTTTTCTTTTTTTTCTTTTTATTCTGGGCCAGCTTTAGCTCTGGCTCCAGCTCTGAGGCCTCTGCTGCTGAAAGAAGGTATCTGGTTTGTTTCAGTTCTATAATCGAAACTCTGTATCAACTCCAGCTCTGAGATCCCGGGCTCGCTGAAAGCAGGTTTCTGGGATTTTGTTTAGCTTCTATATTTGTTACAATGTTTCTTAAACTGCAAGCTCAGAGGCCGGCAAGGCTGGCGGGGAACGTTGGAGTCCTCCGTCACTGAAGCAAGCAAGCCTCATGTTAGTTTCAAGCTGCCTGGCTGCCGGCGGCCATCTTGGCTGGCAGTTAATTTGCATATCTCGCTGATTAGCCAATGGGAAAGGTAGCGGTTGTACGCCAATTACCGTGTTTCTCTTTTATTAGATAGGATTGACTTCCTGTTGTGGTAGATGATAATTTTACAGTCTTTTTCCTATTCTGAATTTTTTTTTTATATATATATTTTATTGATTTTTTACAGAGAGGAAGGGAGAGAGATAGAGAGTTAGAAACATCGATGAGAGAGAATCATCGATCAGCTGCCTCCCGCACATCTCCCACTGGGGATATGCCTGCAACCCAGGCACATGCCCCCAACCGGAATCGAACCCGGGACCTCTCAGTCTGCAGGCTGACGCTCTATCTACTGAGCCAAACCGGTTTCGGCATCTATTCTGAATTTTTATATGAATTTTAGTATATCTCTTTTTTTCATTTGTTGTGCTGTTTTTGGAGGCTTCTTTTACTCTAGAAACTTCTGTGCCTTAATGCTGGGATGATTTTGTGTATTTTTTTTTTTGATGTTTTTGTTTTGCCTTTGCTGAGTAATATGTAATGATAGAGAAAGAAAATGCGGGTTATAAAAACAGTATAACTCCATTGTTTGTTTTATTTAATTTTTTAAAAAATATATTTTATTGATTTTTCTACAGAGAGGAAGGGTGAGGGATAGAGAGTTAGAAACATCAATCAGCTGCCTCCTGCATACCCCCTACTGGGGATGTGTCCGCAACCAAGGTACATGCCCTTGACCAGACTCGAACCTAGGACCCTTGAGTCCATAGGCGAACGCTCTATCCACTGAGCCAAACTGGTTAGGGCTCCATTGTTTGTTTTAACCAGAGGGAAAATATTTGCCTTTTTTGTATATGTGTGGCTTTTTGGAACAGCACCTTTATTGAGATATAATTCCTGTACCATAAAATTCACCCATTTGAAATATATAGTTAAGTGGGTTTTACTATATTCAGAGTTGTGCAACTGTCAACACAATCAATTTTGGAACATTTTCATCATCCCTAAAAGAAACCCATACCCATTAGCAGTTATTTCCCATTTTTCCTCAGCCCCCACAGCCCTAGGCAACCAACTACCAATATATTTTCTATCTTTGTAGATTCGCCTATTCTGGATATTTCAAATATATGGAATCATAATATTTGTTCTTTTGTGACTGCCTTCTTTCACTTAGCATAATGAGTCTAAAGTTCGTCCATGTTGTAGAGGGCATTATTACTTCATTTCTTATTATGGCTGAATAAATATTCCATTATATGGATATTAGAGGCCCGGTGCACAGGTTCATACACCAGTGGGGTCCCTCCACCTGGCCTGTGAGGATCAGGGCAAAACCAGCTCTCCAACATTCCCCGAGGGGTCCTGGATTACAAGAGGGCAGTTCTCGGGTGACGCACCCCGGAATTGGGCTCCCTCCTCTTTGGTTCTGGGTGCGTCACCCGAGAACCATAGCTGCCAAGTCACCACAGCTTGCTAGCTCTTGCATTGAGCGTCTGCCCCCTGGTGGTCAGTGCTCATCATAGCTACTGGCTGGTCAGCCGGTCACTTAGGCTTTTATATATCTAATCTAATAATAGACAAACATGGTAATTGACCGTACCTTCGCTACGCCTCCCATGGGCTAAACAGTGTGATATGCAAATTAACTGCTAACAAATATGGCGGCTAATTTGCATACTGCAGGCAGGGCAGGACAGTGCGAGCTGTCATCTGAGCCCCCTGTGCCGCCTAAACCCCGCCCCCAGCCGGGACCCCCGTGTGCAGCCCTGGGTGGGCAGGACGCCTGTCTGCAGCCCTGGGTGGAGGGGCTTGGCAGCGCGAATGGGCCACCTAAGCCCCGCCCCCAGCCGGGACCCTCGTGTGCAGCCCTGAGTGGGTGGGACTCCTGTCTGCGGCCCTGGGCGGAGGGGCTTGGCAGCGCAATCGGCCCCAGGAAGCCCTATTCTTGCAGGAATCCTCCTGCAACGGGCTTCTAGTGTGTGTGTATATATATATCACCTTTTGTTTATCCATTCATCAATTGATGGACATTTGGGTTGTGTCCACTTTTGGGCTATTATGAATAAAGTTTGTCATGAACATTCATGTGCAACCTTTTTTGTTTTTTTCCTCCTTTTAAAAAGTTTCTGTACAAATTTTTGTGTGAACATGTTTTCAATTCTCTTGGGTATATAGAGGTAGAATTGCTGATTCATATGGTAATTCTGTTCCTTTAAGGACTATCTGACTGTTTTTCCAGAGTGCTTCACCCTTTTACATTCCCATCAACAGTGTATGAGCAGTTCATTTTCTTATATTAGTTTTTGATACTTTCTTCTCTATTTTTGTTTCTTTCTGGGATGATAATTGGTGGCATATTGGATCTTCTGCATTGATCCTCTTGGGTTTTTGGTCTTTTTACTCCTATTTTTCATTTCTTTGTAATTTTAAGTTCTGCTTGCTGGGGAGATTTTCCTTAGTTTATCTTCTAATACTTTTAACATTTTTAAATATAAAAATTTTAGTTTCCACAAGTTGCTTCTTCTTGTTCACTGATTTTTTTCTTTTTCTTTTCCTAAGCCATTCTGTTCTTATTTTTTGGTCGTAATACCTTCTCTTATCTTTCTCTCTGAGGATATTAATTAATTTTTTGACATTTCTTTTCCCTGCATTGTCTGTTTCCTCTGGGTTCCTTTCCCCCTCTTTGGTTTGTTTCCTGTATTTTCTTTTTTGTGTTAGAGACTTTTTTCAAATGTCTGCTAATCCTAGCTCTCCATTCTTAAATAATGAGCCATTAAAAAGCTGATTTGAATCAGAACTTACTAATAGTCTTTGTCCAGTTATGTGCTGGTAAATGTTTAACAACCAGATCTGTGGAGAAAATGACCCTGATTTTCAGCATTTTTGGATTTCTGGGGTGTGACATTCCCACTGTGCCCTGTTTTAAGTTATCAACATATTGTTGCTGAATGCAAAATTGGTAAAAATGCAAAAATTGACTTTCATGAGCTCTTCTCAGCTGGCTCTAGGGTACCATTGGCTCCACTTCAGAATAATTGGCCCACAAATCGACCTTTCATTGGGGGTTTCCTAAGTATCAGTATCTGTAAACTTTTTTTCTGAGTCGTTTAGTATCTCTAGAGAAAAATGCTCCAGACTTCTATCTGGAGGGTTTATCCCTAGCTTCTAGAAGCAAGACAAGAGAAAGGGGCTGTGTCTCTCTCCTTGCTCTGCTATGTCTGGTGTATTCTAATCCAGAGCCACATCCCTTCATTTTCCATGGGGAATAAAGCTACTGTGTTCTGAGTCAGGTAAGTATGGCTGCTTTTGGAGTGCAAGGGTCATTGACTGCTCTGTGTATTGACATTAACAATTCCCCAATTTGTAGTTCCATACCTCAGCCCAGTCTTCTATGATAAATGGTACTTCCAAATCCTGGATCTCTTAGGGATTGTGAAGGGAAAATCAGTTTAATTCTTCTTGGTGTCCTCTCTAGAGGCACTTGTGTTGTAACATCTGTATGCTAGTTCAGTTCTCCCTCTTCTTCTATTATCTCTATAGCAAAAATTTACTTTAAAAGTTTATTGGGCCGAACCGGTTTGGCTCAGTGGATAGAGCGTCGGCCTGCGGACTCAAGGGTCCCAGGTTCGATTCCAGTCAAGGGCATGTACCTTGGTTGTGGGCACATCCCCACTGGGGGGCGTGCAGGAGGCAGGTGATCGATCTCTCTCATTGATGTTTTTAACTCTCTATCCCTCTCCCTTCTCTGTAAAAAAATCAATAAAATATATTTTAAAAAAAAGTTTATTGGAATTTCTTTTCATTAGGTTTTCTCTCCCATTGAGGATTTATATGTCTTTTTTCTTTACTACTATTTTCATAGATTTAGGGAGGGAGAGGAGGTCATTTTGGCAGTTGACCTGCCATGTTTAATCATAAGTATTTCCTTTAGATGGTATCCATTTGGTTCCATAGGAAAGATGACAATGGATTAATGGTCCGGCAGAACAAGGAATGTCTACATCTGTGATAGTAATTTTATTTTAATTTTTGGTCAGCAAAGGAAGCCATGAGAAGGCATTGACTTAAAATTTCAATTTCTTCATGTAGATTTTTAGCTTCAGAATTCTGCTTTTGTTCATCACACAGTCCAGGATTAATATAATGAAGTAGAAAGAACCCAGGATTTGGACTCAGAACCTTGAGGTTGAATACTGGTACCACTGCTTAGTAGTTACATAGCCATGAGCAAGATAGTCTCCTTGAGTCTTAGCATCCCCTGCTGTAGAATCAGGGTAAAATTCATGCCCCATTTTTCTCACAGGATTATTATAAGGACTAGATAAGATAATGGAAATAAAAATGCTTTAAGAGCCCTGACTGGTTTGGCTCAGTGGATAGAGCGTCGGCCTGCGGACTGAAGGGTCCCGGGTTTGATTCCGGTCGAGGGCATGTACCTTGGTTGCAGGATGCAGCTGATTGATGTTTCTCTCTCATCCAATGTTTTTAGCTCTCTTTTCCTCTCCCTTCCTCTCTGTAAAAAAAATCAATAAAATATATTTTTTAAAAAAATGCTTTAAGAGACTGTGAGTGAGGGATAATAATAATTAACTTTTGTTTTCCCACCTAATTCAGAAGATAATATGGGGGTGAGGGATTGGGCTGGTTGATGCCTGCTGGGTAGAAAGTGCAGAAAGCTCATCCTCAGAAAGGTGTGAGTTGCACTCCACCTGGTTAATAAGTTAATGTGTTTCTGTTGCCATCCCCTCTCTTCCTCTCACCTTAGGCCAATGCTGATTATAGGCCCTCTGATAAGGGAGCCTGACTGAATATGTGGTTCAGGCAGATACAGTTGTCCCAGCAACAAGAGCTTAACCTGCCAATGACATGGTTACTCTCTCCCACTTTTCCCCAGATGCTGCTGCAGATTGCTGATGATTTTATCGAGAGTGTAGTGACAGCAGCCTGCCAGCTTGCTCGGCATCGCAAGTCCAGCACCCTGGAGGTGAAGGACGTCCAGCTGCACCTAGGTACATGGTCTCATTTCTCCCTGAGGTGTCCCCATGATTCCTCTGTCAGGACCATCATGAAAAGTGTAGTCGGAGGAACCTCTGTGCCAGGATCAGACTTTCAGGCTCTGATATTCATGTATTCCCAGGCATTGGGTTTGCCACTACCTACCTGCGTCACCTTATCTTTGTTACTTAATTTCTCTTAGAGTCCATTTCCTCATTTGTAAAGTGGAGATCTAATATCCTCCTTACACGGTAATTGTGAGAATTATGAATTAGGTTTGTAAAATGACAGGCACAGGATCTGACTCAAGGTAAGAGATTAGTAAATGTAGCTATTATATCTCCACCATTCAAAAAAAGGTGTTTCCCTTACAGTTTTTAGCTTATTTAGGCATTTTTCCAAGAAAATTATAATCATAAGGTGTATATAAATTTGTTTTCTGCTTTTCTACATAATAGACACTAAATTCGAGCTTGGGTTTTTCTGGGAGATGCTCATCTAACATTTTATTTTTTTACATTTATAGTACTGTAAATGTATTTTTTCTTCCTTAAGATTTTCTTTTCTTTAGCTTACTTAATTGTAAGAATACAGTACACAATACATGTAACACCCAAATTTTGTTTATTAACTGGTTATGTTATCGGTAAGGCTTTTGGTCAACAGTAGACTATTAGTAAACTTTTGGGGAAGTCAAAAGTTATACACAGCCCTGGCCGGTTTTCTCAGTGGACAGCCCTCAGACCAAAGGGCACGGTTTGATTCCTGGCCAAGGACGTACCTCAGTTGCAGATTTGATAGGAGTAAGACAACTGAAAAATGACTCCCTTTCTGCATGGAAACCTTAGGACTCAGCACCCTTGGCTTTGACCAATTTACTTTGCAAGAAAATCAAATGGTATCCATTACACCTTGAGGCACGACATGAGATTCCCCCATTTGTATTCCGTAGAATCCCTCTGCAGGGTTACTGTTACTCAGCTTAGCTGATTGCTGAGATTCGTCCCCCCGACCCTTGTCTGAGGGTCACACTGCACCCTGACCCTGCCTGCCAGTCCCCTTATCTCTGTGCTGGCCTCTTCCTTGCAGAGCGCCAGTGGAATATGTGGATCCCAGGATTTGGCTCTGAAGAAATCCGACCCTACAAAAAAGCTTGCACCACAGAGGCTCACAAACAGGTGAGGAGTCATCAGAGCCCCAGGGCAGCCACAGCTGATCCCTTGAGCTACCATTGCAGGTCACAGCTACCACCACTGCAGTTATCGCTCCCTCTCACAGCAGCAGAGCTCCATGGGAGATCAGTCAGATGTTTCCTTGATGATTGGCTGTTCCCACACTGGGGTGGAGGGGGAGTGTCTCTGGTTTGTCTCTCAGCTCTGATGGGCATTGCTTAACGTTGTTGAATGTAGGTTGTTTAATATGGATGGAACATCATGGATGGAACTTGAACCTGCCCATCTCCTTAATGGTGATGTGAACATACATATGGTCCTGTGACTGAGGACAGGTTAAGGAAAGCAGAAATACGTGTACTTGTGGTGAGAGGTAGCACCCAGACTGCTCTGCCAGGTATTTTGATCTCCATCCTAGCTTAACCTTTGTTCTCTGCCTCTCTTACCATGGAACTGAGGAGTCAGTTTAAGAACCTAACACCACTTGTGGAGCAAGTTGTCCCTGTCATTGGTCAGTCTCGTGGCAGTGGTGGCCTCCCTTGACAAGGCTGTCATTCCTGTCTTAATGCAGCTGGCTACTCGGAATTGAAAAGTGAGCTTGCCCTGGCCAGTTTGACTCAGTGGATAGAGCATCAGCCTGGGGACTGACGGGTCCTGGGTTCGATTTGGTCAAGGGCACATGCCAGGTTGTGGGCCTGATCCCCAGTAGGGGGCATGCAGGAGGCAGCCGATCAATGATTCTCATCATTGATGTTTCTATCTCCCTCTCTCTTCCTCTCTGAAATCAATAAAAATATATTTTTTTAAAAGGAAAGTGAGCTTAATCTAAGCTTGACAGGCATAACTGGGAGCCTCTGTCCCTTGCTTTTCCATAGAGTGGATCTCTGGATCAGGTATGTTTCTGGAGCTCACAGAGGAAGCCCTGCAAGGAAGCTGTTAATAGTCTGAATCGAAGGACCACAGTGTTCAGAAATGAGTCCCTCCAGATAACAGATGGTCCTTTGGTCTCTGTTCCCAAATTATCCACTTTTTAGCCATATATGTATATATTTATCAACAAATATAACGTTTGGACAATCTCTTGGTCAAAAAGAGTGAGCCAAGCAAGTCAGTAATTTGGCCATGGCTGGTAGTAGTAAAATTCGAAGTCCGTGATCTGACTGTTTCCCTGATGGGTTGTGGTAGAAGTTGTTGGTGTCACTTTCCTTCATTGCAGGTCAGCAAGTATGAAATGGCAGCGGGCTTGGAACAAAGGCCCTTCCTATTTTCTCCATCTTCAGAGGAGAGCTTGGGTGTGGGTGGGAGGCCTAGAAATCACCTGCTTTGATGGCTTTTCCCCTTAAGTCCCCAAAAGGCAGGAGCTGTCACCTTTTAGCCTTTTTGCCATCCTGCTAGCCTAGAGCAGTCTGTGTCTTTGGTGCATGGAATGGGTCGCTGGCCTGTCTGAACATCTCTGGGGCCCTGCACATGGTACGCAGGTTAGGTGGAGCTTGCTGATGAGCTACCCTGTGCCTGTGGTTCCCGCAGGCTCCAGGCTGTGCTGTAGGTCGTGCTGCCTGCTAGCCACGCACGGACATCCCAGAAAGTTCCTCACTCTAACCTGTGCTTTGCTTATTTCTCTCTCCTTTTAGAGAATGGCATTGATCCGGAAAACAACCAAGAAATAACACATGGAAAGATCAGGGAATGGACAACATTGTATTTGGAGATACTTGAGCTGAGACCTCAGCCATCTCATCTTTGGATTTTTTTTTTAATGCTTTACAGAGAAGCATATATTTTTTATTAACAGTGCAGCAATATCTATAATGACTGAGAGGATCTGCCAAAAGAATAAAGCCTCCTGCCCCCACTTTGGCCCCTTTTCCCTGCCGTCTCAAAGAGGAGCAATTTATCTTCCAGAGAAGATTTTATTTGTGGTTTATTATATAAGTGATTGAATATGGGACAAAGCAGTATGGTCTTGTTTGGTGAGACAGTATTAGCAGGATTGGTAGAGGTTTTTGTTTCCTTCTCCCTTCCTCTTCCCCTGTACTTTGTAATGTCAGTGTTTATATGAATATGACTTTCATTTGCTTTTCCAGAATAAAAAAGTTATAATTGAAAGACACAGGATGCATGGCTTACAGCCTTTGAAATCCAAGAGGGAGTTAGGAGCAGCAGCAAGGCTGATGCAGCTTCCCAGTCAGCAGGTGGCAGCAATGTTATTCATTTCTGTGGTTAAGAAAAAACCATGGGGTTTTCATTACTGTACTCGAAGGAAGGCTACACCATTAGCAGAAACTGAGTTCAGTTTCTCTGCCATAGAATTGGGTAGGGTGACTTCTCTCCTGAACCCCAAACTGAAGAGGCATCCTGGTTTTGGCAAAGCCTGCTCTTCTGGAATTCCTAGAGAAAGTTGTGCTCATCCTGAGCCCAAAGAAGGGACAGGGAAAGGCCTGTCTATGCTGGGGCCTGTCTGCACTTAGTTGCCGGTATCCCTGGTCCTGGTATTTTCACCATTGTGTAGAAGAAACAGCTCACTTAGCATTGTCTTGTCCTGTGCCCAGCATAGCCCTTGTGGGTCATGAAGGTTTCATGGGCTTCGGGGGGTGTGGCTGTTCCACCCAGGGAACACCAGCACAGGCACTTCCCCTTGCCCTGCTTTGGTTCTCTGTCGCCTGAGGTTGGCCTGCAGTGGGACCCTGCTTTTCACTCCCATTTATTTTGGCCCCATGACCCCTCTCCACATCTTCATAGATCTTTTGAGTGAGCAGCTCAAAGGCTGTACTGATGGTACTGTTGCTCTTGGCTGAAGTCTCAACATAGTGAGCACCCAAAGAAGAGGCAGCCAGCTTCTCCCCTTCTTCTGGCACCACCTGTCACTCAGCCACCAAGTCACTCTTGTGCCCTACCACCAGGAAGAGGATGCCGAAGGGTTTCACTTTCTCCAGAATCTCCTAATGTCATGTTCTGTTGATGATACCAAACAGCAAAAGGCCTCCCACCAAGTTTTGATAGTAGGAGCCAGGCACTGACCTCGGTAGCCAAGAAGGATTCCAGAATTAGTTTTGAATCCTCCATTGAGGACAGAAGGGGATGGGGAATTCGGGCCGTTTAATGGAAAGAGCCGGGGTAGAGCCAAGAGACCTCAATTCTTGATCAGCTGTGTGACAGGTAAGTAAGTAGTTTCACCTGAGTCCTGTCCTATCTGCATATGAAAGGACCTTGTTTGTTCAACAAGCATTTGTGAGCTGGGCCCGGGCCTGGCAGTGGGTTACTGTGATGAGTAAAATAAAAACAGGGAGTATTCCTGTGATTGGATAAATATAAAACTGTCACGGTGACAGGCTGCAACAGAGAAGTTCACAGGGCCAGGGGGAGGGCGTCTGACGAGTTGAGCCATAATCTTTTTTTTTTAATCCTCACCTGAGGATATTTTTCCATTGATTTTTAGGGAGAGTGAAAGAGTGAGGCAAAGACAGAGAAAAACACTGATGTGAAAGAAACACATCAATTGGTTGCCTCCTGCAGCACCTGCCTGCAACTGAAGTATGTGCCCTTGACTGGAATTGAACGGGTGTGTGTGTGTGTGTGTGTGTGTGTGTGTGTGTGTAGAGGCGGATAGGGCTTGAGCTATAATTTGAGGGACCTGAGTGAAGGGATCTCTCTCTTGTGGAGAGAGAACTGCATGTATGCCAGCCCTGAGGCATGTGGTGGGCCAGGTCATGGTGTGCCTTGTCAGCCCCAGCAAAGGGGGTCTTTACCCGAAAACTAACAGGAACCATTGAAGGAATTTAAGCAGGAGCATGACATGGTCAGCTTTGCATTTTGAAAAGAAGATCACTGGCCAGGCAGTGGAGAACAGACTGGAGGAAGAAGAGAGAGATAAACTGTAAAAGCAGAAACTCATCAGAAGGCTGCTGCCTGGATTGGAGTGGAGGTAGGTGGTAAGGTGGAAGAGGATAAATTTGGAAAGTTGTTTAAAGTGGTGCCCTCACATGCCTTGGTGACTGGGTGTGAGGGTATAGGAGAGGGTGTCACCCAGTGAGCTGCAAGGGATTCTCTGACTTGGTGTGTCCATCTCTGGTGCAGTTCCGCCCCCACCCTGGGCATGAGGCCCTCTACCCCCTAAGCTAAGTAACTTCACAGCAGGGTTGATAATAAGCAACTAGCAAAAGAAGTAGCTCACAGTGTGTAAGCCCCTCCGTGTGGTAGGGTTCATATAATAATCATTTAATCCTTACCACCACACTGGGAGATAAAACTATTATCCCCACCTTACAGATGGGAAACCTGACATTTCTGGGGAGAGGCAGCTGGGACAATGGGCATTGTCTCTGCCTTGGAGGTGGACCCTGCCCTGGGTGGGACCCCCTTCCTTCTGGTTCTTCAATACTTGGCCAGGATTTTGAGAGGGAATGGACAGTTTTTCCTTTCCTCCAGAGATGTGGGACTTTGTTTTGAGCACCTGACAGTCAAATCCCCACCTCCATCCCCAGGATTAGCTGCTTAGCTCCCAAGCAAGCTCCAGTTCAGACCTGTATCCTGGGTGGGGAAGCTCTTGGAGATGAACCACACACAAAGTTAAGGGCATTTCCTGCTTCTTCACATCATTCTAATCTAGCCGCTAGATCTCCAATAGATTCCTAGAAAAAACCCAGCTCGTACTTGCCTCCTGGTTCTCCCTTGTACTTACTGGCTGCTGCTTTTTTTATTTTTCATTTATTGATTGATTTTTTTTATAGAGGAAGGGAGAGAGATAGATAGAAACATCGATGAGAAGAAAATATTAATTGGCTGCCTTCTGCACGTCCCCTACTGGGTATCAGGCCCACAACTAGGCATGTGCCCTGACCGGAAATCAAACCTATGACCTCTTGGTTCACAGGTCGATGCTCAACCACTAAGGCACACCAGCTGGACCTTACTGGCTTCTTAACCTCTCTGGGCCTCATTCTCCATATCAGTAAAATGGAAAATTAAAGTAACTACCTTATACAATACACTAGGGGCCCAGTGCACGAATTTGTGCACCTTGAAAGGAACTGTGGGCCATGAGGCTGCGGTGGGCACAGGGGTGGGATTCGACCCATCCTCTGCACCCCTCCCACCGCAGCTCCTGTCCCCTGTCTGTTGGCAGCCCCGCTCCCGCCGCCACTGCTCCCACAGGCTGATGGCACCCACTGACAGCGCAGAGCGATTGGGGCTGGTGCCAGCAGTGGGTACAAGCGGTGGCTGCTGCCCCAATCGCCCCTCAGGAGCAGGGGGAGGTGAAGAAGCCCTCAGGGGCAATGAGGGCCGACAGCCGCCGCTTGTACCTGCTGACGGTGCCAAGCAATCGGGACTGGCACCAGGCACCAGCAGTGGGTGCAAGTGGAGCCGTTGCTGGCAGCAGGTGCGAGAGGTGGCTGCTGGCCTCAATCGCCCCTCAGGAGCAGGGGGAGGTGGAGAAGCCCTGAGGGCAATTGGGGCCAGCAGCCACTGCTCACACCCACTGACGGTGCTGAGCGATCTGCTGAGCGATCGGGGCCAGCGCCGGGTGCCAACAGCAGGTGCGAGCACTAGGTAGGACCGTGGTGTGCTAGAGCAAAGAATTTTCAGTAACCACCAGAATCTCACCCTGATGACAGTGACCAGCGCCCCGCCTTAGTGTGGTGTCCCCACTCACCTGTTCCACCATCCCCACGCCTGCCATGTTCTGCGTGCACGCCCTGGTGGTCAGCGTACGTCATAGCGACCGGTTATTTGGTTGTTCAGTTGTTCCACAGTTCGGTCTATTTGCATATTAGGGTTTTATATACATAGATAAGAAGTGCTCAGCCCTGGTTGGGTAGCTCAGTTTTAGAGCATCATCTCGATACACCAATGTTGCAGGCTCGATCCCTGGTCAGGACACATACAAGAAGGAACCAATGCATTCATAAATAAGTAGGACAACAAATCAACATTCCCCTCTCTCTCTTAAGTCAATGAATAAAAGTAAAAAAATAAAATAAATGCTCAGTCGGTGCTGGCAGCTGTTCCTTCTGCCCAGATCTCTCAGCTCTTTGCTCTTAGCTTGGCTCCTTCTCCTCCAGGTTTCAGCTCAAAGGTCATTTCCTCAGAGAAGCCCTCCCCAACCACCTGCTCTAAAGGACCCACATCACCCTTATCTGTGATCTTTATAGCGCCACAACTAGAAATAGTTTGGTTCACTTATTTACTCATTTCTTTCTCTTCCATTAGAATGTCAGCCCCAGGAGGGCAATTCTGTATCCCCAGAGCCCAGAACAGAGCAGATGTTCATTTTTAAAAATCTGATGAAGGAATAATAATATGCTCTAAAGCAAATCATTTCCCTCTCCTGGCCCAAGCTTTCCCATCTGTAAAATGGGGATAATTGTGCCAACCTTGCAAGATTGTCATAAGGATGAGTGAAGGTTTTTTTTAGAAGAGGAGACAGGGAGACACCACCTGTCCCAGCTGCCATGGGGAGGAAGCTAAGAAACTCAACCTGATTGAAAACCTCCCAAGAACCCTAGGATGGAGGGAATGTCAGTCACCTGTTCCTGAGAAAGAATCTGAGGCTCAAAGAGGTGCAGTAACTGGCTCCAGGTCACAAAATTAAGTAGTCAGTGCTCTTTTTGCTGTGGCAACTATCCATGCCCTTCCCATGACCACTGGCACAATGACATCCTCAAGACACCCCCTCTACACCTGTTGAGATTCTTCCCAACACAAACACCATCTCCTCCATGAAGCCATCTTTGATTGCTCTAGGACATTCCCTGCCTTGCAGTTTCTGTTGCAAATTAGTTTCCCCAGGAGGCAAATTCTGAGATTAGTGTGTAGACATTTACATTTGACCTTGAACAACTCTGGAGTTAGGGGGGCTGACCTCCTGTGCAATAGAAAGTCTGGGTGTAACTTCACCTGACCTCCTTCATCCCCAAAGACACATCCATGGAGTTCACCCTTGAATAACGGGTTTGAACTATATGGGTCAATTGGAAAAATCCACATGTAAGCAGACCTGCACAGTTCAAATAGTTCAAAATCGTGTTGTTCAAGGGTCAACTGTATTAGGGCATTATTGAGATCAATACCTGCTTGGGCCCAGCTGGTATGCTCAGTGGTTGAGTGTTGACCCATGAATCAGGAGGTTGCTGTTGGATTCCAGGTCAGGGCACATGCCTGGGTTGTGGGCTCAATCACCAGTAGGGAGCATGCAGGAGGCAGCCAATCGATGGTTCATCATTGATGTTTCTATCTCTCTTTCTCCCTCTCTCTGAAAATCAATAAAAACATATCTAAAAAAATAAACCTGTTTGGGGGAGAAAAGGAAGGAAGCAGGACTGAGCAGAGGGAGGATTTATCTGTGATGTCACAACAATGGCTTCAGTGGACTCCATAACCCTATATAATAAAAGGCTAATATGCAAATTGACCGAACAGCAGAACGACCGATCGCTATGACATGCACTGACCACCAAGGGGCAGATGCTCAATGCAGGAGCTGGCCCTGCTTGTCAGTGCCCTCCCACGGAGGAAGTGCCGCTCAGCCAGAAGCCAGGCTCATGGCTGGCGAGTACAGCAGCGGTGATGGGAGCTTCTCCCACCTCCATGGCAGCGCTGAGGATGTCCTGAAATTCCCTGCACTCATCCTCACCTGTGCAGCGTGTACAGACTCAGCGTCTCAGCGTCCCAGCCCCAGAAGGCTGCTGGAAATGGCCACATCCCAGCCAAGAGGAGTGGTGATGACAGTTCTTGTCATTTAGTTCTCAGCAAGTGGCAGGTTCTGGCTGAGCTTATCCCATCCATTATCTCATTCATGCACCTCCCCACCCCCTACTCCCTTGAGGCAGGGTGTTTTATGACTAAGCAGGCTCAACAGGGAGCTGTATACCTGCCTCTAGAACTTTCTTTTGTTGATTGATTTTAGAGAGAGAGGAAGGGAGAGACACTGATTTATTGTTCCACTATTCGTGCATTCTTTGGTTGATACTTGTATGCGATCTAACGGACAACCTTGGCGTATTGGGACGACACTCTAACCAGCTGAGCTACCTGGCCAGAGCCTAGACCTTTCTGGTGGAAAGGGGCTGAGCTCTAAGACCCCAGATTCAGGAGCCATGACTAGGCCAGGATATTGTTTCTATGATCCCTTCGGGTATATTCCGCCATTTGACCTTTGGAGAAACAGTCTCCATCCCACCAGCACATCTGAGGTTGGCACTGGTTTAACCCCTTCCCTCCCAGAGTCAACACTGGCAGGGGCCTGCATGCTGCTTTCTGCTGGGGAGCCTGGGGATCTGAGGCTTGATGAGCCGGATGCCTCCCCAGTCCTCCTCCAGCTTGATGTCCCCCTGCTGCAGGGCCTGCTGGATGGCGTTGGCAAGTGTCTGGAAAGCTTGGTCCACATTGCAGTTCTTTGTGGCTGAGGTTTCCATGAAGGCCATGCCCAGGGAGGCAGCCAGCTCCTCTGCCTCCTGGGCCGAGACACAGCGGGTGCTCTCCAGGTCACTCTTGTGGCCCAGGAGCAGAAAGACTGCCTTGTCGGGGCCCTGAGTGGCCATGACCTCCTGGTGCCAGTCTGGAATGTGTTCAAAGGACTTCCTGTTTGTCACATCGAAAACCAGCAGGACACCCACCACATTCCGGTAAAAAGACCTGGTCATGCACCTGATGGGATTGAGGAGTAAGGAGTAAATGGGGAGAGCCCTGTACCCACCTTCAAGGCCCCCCCAGAGGCAGGACCTCCCCTGCATCCACTGACTGCCCCCCCCCCCCTTCCTTCTCCCCATTACAGCTCATTTCACACGGCCTGTGCTTCGGCTCCTGGACGCCGTCTCTCTCCCCAGAGTGCGCGCCTCCCAGGTAGGGAGTGAGTTTGATGCACATTCTCTCCCGACCATTCCTCCCGCCCTTCCTGGAGGAGGCCGGACGTTTGCCCGCCGGAAAGTCCGCTTCCCGTTCTCTGCCTGGCAAACTCCTACGCATCCGTCAAGGCCAACGCAAACCTGTCCTTCTTTCCCATCCCCAGACCTCGCGCTCCGTGCTCCCGTGGGCCCGCTCAGCACCCACATCCTTCATCCCTCCGGGCTTCAGTTAGGATCCTCCCCCACCCAAGGCCTGCATTCCTGACCGGGTGGGGGGTGGGGGTGGGGGGAGGCGCAACAGGTCTCCAGCGCCTGGCTCGGGCCGGGCCGCGCCCACCAGCTGCATTTGTAGGTGGCGGGACTCGAGAGGGAAGGACTGGAGACCCACACCTCTAACGGGGCCACTGAGGCTGACCCCTCTGAGGGGATCCCCAAACCCGAGGTCCCTCACCTCCTCGTCCCCCGCTTCTGGCCCCTCCACCGCGCACCCACAGCACCGCCCTCGCCCGCACCTGAAGCGCTCCTGGCCCGCGGTGTCCCAGAGCTGCAGCTTGACCCACGGGCCCGCCGGCAGCTGCACCGCGCGGCCGTAGAACTCGACGCCCACGGTGGGCGCCGCCTCCAGCTCCGGCTCGGGCTCCAGGGTCCCGGCCGCGCCCTCCACGAAGCGTCGCAGCAGCGATGTCTTACCCACCGTCGCGTCCCCCAGCACCACGACCCGAAACTGGTAGCGGCAGCCCTTCCCCTCCATGGCCGAGTCTCGCCTCCAGCCTGTCCCGCGGTCACCGTCCGTCCCGCCCCGCCCCGCCCCGAGGCCGGGAAGGGTGGCCCCGCCCCCCCGCCCCCCGCCTCCCCCGGGCTCTGAGCGACCCGTCCCCCCGCAAGTGGAGGACCGTGGAGCCCGGGGTGTTACCAGCCCAGGAACCCTGACTCCGGGGGAACTGGCCGGTGAAGACACCTGGGCAAGTCACTGACTCTGTGAGCCTCAGTTTTCCCCTCTGTACAATGGGGATAAGAGTAACCCCACGTCACGGATGAAAAGATTAAACGAGATGCCGGGAGGAGGGTGGGAGGAGAAGTGGGGAGGAGCGACAATCCAGACAGTCCCGCAGGCACTGCCTAAGCTGCAGTGCTGGATCGGCCACGTCATTCCTGCATCCGTCTGTGGGGATGTTTCTCTCTCGGCCCCACCCTCCTGCTAGGTCCCCAGTTGGGCCCCTGCTGCTGGACCCGGAGACACCACTCCAGAAAGTTGATGGGTTATAGATGCTTCTTTCCTGCCCCTGAGGGGGACGGGGGTAGGCGGGGGGCGCCCAAGGCGCTTTCTGGAGCCCCAGGACCCTGACCTGAGAGGAGACCTCTCGGAGGAGGTGATGCTGAAACGGTCTCTAAGGACAATGGCAGCTGGGAGGTCAGGGCAGAAGGGCTGCTGAGCAAAGGCAGCGAGGTATGAAACAGCTTGAAAGGCAGTTTGAGCTCAGTCTTCCTAGAAGCCTTACGATCAGCACATGTGGGCAGTGCACTGTCAGCATCAGGCTCCTAGAACTTCCTCTCCCTGTGGGCTGGGGTCATGCGCCTGCCTGACTGCTCCTGACACTTGAATCCAGATGTCAGCTGACCTGAGGGCAAGTCGTTTCCCCTCCCCATCCCTGCTCCGCCTTCTGCAAAGTGAGGCAAATCACAGTGCCCACCTCACAGGGTAGTTCAGGAAGAACTGTGTAACCTAACAGGTAAATATATGCATATTTGCATTAGACAGATCTGGGTTTAAGTTCCAATGTGGCCTTAGTCAAGTTTTATTCATTCATTAATTCATTCACTTAGTAATTATTTCAGTAAGTGCTAGCTGTCTTACATACTTAGGCATTTATGCTGCACTGAAAATAAAGAGACACAATTCCCGTTCTGGGGGTTCACATTGTATTGGGGAAGACAGACAATAAATACATAGATAATGTGATGACAGGGCGCAATCAGTGCTATAAATACAAACAGGGCAATGGCTTGAAGGGTGACAGCATGTTGTATCAAAATAGGATGATCTGGTCCAGCCGGCGTGGCTCAGTGGTTGAGTTTCGACCTATGAACCAGGAGCCCAGTCAGGGCACATGCCCGGGTTGCAGGCTCCATCCCCCGTGTGGGGTGTGCAGTAGGCAGCTGACCAATATTTCTCTCTCATCATTGATGTTTCTTTCCCTCTCTCCCTCCCCCTTCCTCTCTGAAATCAATAAAAATATATTTTAAAAAATAGGGTGGTCTGAGGTGACATCTGAACAGACATCAGGGGAAGTGAGAGGGTGAGGGAGTAATGAGGCTTATGTGAAATCCAGGGAGGATAGTTCCAGGCAGGAAGAACAGCAAGAGCAAAGGCCCTAAAGTGGAAGCAGGCAAAGAGTACTCCAGCCCTCACCGGTTTGGCTCAGTGGATAGAGCGTCGGCTTGTGGACTGAAGGGTAATTCACTTAGTAATTATTCCAGCCCAGGCACGTATCCTGGCCCTGGTCAGGGTGCATACGGGAGGCAACCAATTGATGTGTCTCTCTCTCATTGATATTTCTCTCTGTCTCTCCCTCTCCCTTCCACTCTCTCTAAAAATAAGTGGAAAGCCCTCACCAGTTTGGCTCAGTGGATAGAGCATTGGCCTGTGGACTGAAGGATCCCAGGTTCAATTCCAGTTAAGGGCATATGCCTAGGTTGCTGGCTTGATCTCCAGTAGGAGGCGTGCAGGAGGCAGCCCATCGATGATTCTCTCTCATCACTGATGTTTCTCTCCTTTCCTCTCTGAAATCAATAAAAATATCCTACATAATAAAGAGGTAATATGCAAATTGACCAGCACACCCTCACACAAGAAGGCTGCCCCTATGTGGCCAAAGATGGCCGCCTCCATGTGGTCACAAGATGGCCAGCAGGGGAGGGCAGTTAGGGGCAACCAGGCCGGTAGGGGAGGGCAGTTGGGGGAGACCAGCTGGGGAGGAAAGGTCAGTTGTGGGGGACCAGGCCGGCAGGGGAGGGCAATTAGGGATGACTAGGCCGGCAGGAGAGGGCAGTTGGGGGCAATCAGGCCAGCAGGGGAGCAGTTAGGAGTCGCTCAGGCTGGCAGGGGAGCGGTTAGGGGGCGATCAGGCAGGCAGGCAGAAGCAGTTAGGGGCAATCAGGCAGGCATGTAGGCGAGCAGTTGGGAGCCAGCAGTCCCAGATTGTGAGAGGGATCCCAGATTGGAAAGGGTGCAGGCTGGGCTGAGACACACACACACACACACACACACACACACACACACACCACCAGTGCACGAATTTCGTGCAGCGGGCCTCTAGTATCTATAATAATAAAAGCATAATATTCTAATTAGAACAGACATCCTTCTAGACAACCTTCCAGATGACCTTCCAGACGAAGTGGGCTGCGAGGGAAGCCTGGGTCCTGGGTGCCAGAGGGAAGCCAGTGGAGGCAGAGGGGGAGGGAGGGGGGAAGGAAGGCCTATCTTGCACAAATTTCATGCATTGGGCCTCTAGTTTAAAAAAAAAAGTGGAAAAATATCCTCAGGTGAGGATTAAAAAAAAAAAGAGTACTCCAAGAGCTGAGAGACTGGGAAGAGGGAACAGAAAGGAGGAAGTAAGTGGTGGGCGATGATGGTAGAGAGGCGGAGGCTTCATAGGCCAGCCTGGGGACTTCAGCTTTCGCATCAAATGTGTTGAGAAGTCAGTGGTTTGGGGGCAGGCAAATCACATGATCTAAATGTTTTCTTGCTGTCCCATCAGTGTGGCTTGAACAAAGAGGTCACCGGTTTGATTCCCAGTTGCGGGCATATCCGCAGGTTGCAGGCTCAATCCCTAGCAGGGAGGCATGCAGAAGGCAGCTGATCAATGATTTTCATCATTGATGTGCCGGGGTCCAGCCCCAGAGGTCCGGGGGTTCCCAAAAGTGTGGACGGCATGGGCGAAGAACGAAGGCCATGGAGACAGCGTTCAGATGATCCGCATAATCAGGTTCTGTCTTTATGGCCCTGTTACAACTGCGTTTATACTATTTGATTCTATAAGCATGTGTCTATACGTTATGTCATGGTATGTTTTCGGTCCCCCTTTGACCTTTTACAGTTTCTTGTTTTATGTTTACAGTTCTTATCTGGCCTTTGTTAAAAATGTCATTTCTATTTAGCTCTGCTGATTTTAATCTTATTCATTGTCTATGTTTGTACATTCTATTGTAAAGGTTATTGTCTGTGTTTCATTATAAGGGCTAGTTTGTTATTTCTATTCTAAGGTTACTATTCTATTGCTCTACTGTTAAGCTATAAGGAAAAAACTGAAGGAGGTTTTCCTATTCTATGGCCTAAGTAAAGGTTATGTAGCTTAAGTGTGATTGTTCTTAGCTATGGTGATTAACAACCTGCCTGGCACTTAGTTTAAGTCTTTCTGCTTGCATAGCTCACATAAGATTTTTAGATAAGGAGCCTGCCTGCATTGTTTGCAGTGGTATTTCTTTAAGTGTTTGATAGTTGTCCTTTTAGCCTTACTGATGGTCTCGGGTTTTTAGGGGTATAGGTTTTGGTACTTTCTCTGGTGGGTAGACCCCTGGGGATGTGGGCCTAGCAAGTCCTAAATTTATTGCTAACAGTCTTAGTCTGAGTTTCTTATAAGTGGTACACTGTATTTCTGTAACACTAGGGGGTTTTACTGATTTATTCCCTTACCTAGTCCCGTTAATCCCTAACTCTAGGGAAACATCCCCAGCTGGGGAAACAACCTTTCTCGGGGAGGTGGCCCTGGTAAGAACACATAGCGCTAAGAAGGGGAGCAAACATATTAAAAACAGTATGCCATATACACCAGGTCCCTTGGAGCATATGCTGTGCAGATGTTTCTTTCCTGCAGCGACTGTGTCAAGCAGCAAGGATGGAACGGCTCCCAGCATTGATGTTTCTATCTCCCTCTCCCTTCCTCTCTGAAATCAATAAAATATATATGTAAAAATGTTTTCTTGCATTTATTTATTTATTTATTTTTGTTAATCCTCACCTGAGGATGTTTTCCCATTGATTTTTTGAGAGAGTGGAAGGGAGGGGGGAGACAGAGAGTGACATTGATGTGAGAGAGACATGTTGATTGGTTGCCTCCCACATGCACCCTCACTGGGGCTGAGGATGGAGCCTGAAACCGAGGTATTGAACCCAGACCTTTCAGTCCCAGGGCAAATGCTCTATCCACTGAGACAAATTGGCTAGGGCTCTTGCTTACTTTTAAAAAATATCTTTATTGGGATATAATTGACACACAATAAGCTGCACATATGAAAACTGTACAATATAAGGAGTTGTGACATGTGTATACCCTTTAAAACCATCACCATTAAGATAAAGAGCAGTAATTACCCCCAAACGTTTCCCCATGTATTTAAATAATTTATATATATATTAGAGGCCCGGTGCACAAAAATTTGTGCACTCGGGGGGCGGGGGGTCCCTCTGCCCGCCTGTGCCCTCTCGCAGTCTGGGACCCCTTGAGGGATGTCCACCTGCTGGCTTAGGCCCACTCCCCGGGGGATCGGGCCTAAGCTGGCAGTCAGACATCCCTCTGGCAGCTTGGGAGCCTTTGGGGGATGTCCACTTGCCAGCAGGGGGCAGGCCTAAGCTGCAGTTGGACATCCTTAACGCTGCTGAGGAGGCGGGAGAGGCTCCCAACACCACCGCTCTGCTGGCAGCCATCAGCCTGGCTTGTGGCTGAACAGAGCTCCCCCTGTGGGAGCGCATTGACCACCAGGGGGCAGCTCCTGCATTAAGCATCTGCCCCCTGGTGGTAAGTGTGTGTCATAGTCAATTTGCATATTACCCTTTTATTATATAGTTTATATATAAACTTCAGAGAGGGAGACAGAGATAGAAACATCAATGATGAGAGAGAATCATTGATCAGTTGCCTCTTGCATGCCCCACACTGGGGATCGAGCCTGCAACCTGGGCATGTGCCTTGACTGGGAACTGACTCATGACCAATTGGTTTATAAGTTGATTCTCAACCACTGAGCCATGTCAGCCGGGTTCCCCATGTATTTTTTTTATTTTTTATTGATTTTTTACAGAGAGGAAGGGAGAGGGATAGAGAGTTAGAAACATCAATGAGAGAGAAACATTGATCAGCTGCTTCCTGCATACCCCCCACTGGGGATGTGCCCGCAACCAAGGTACATGCCCTTGACCAGAATCGAACCTGGGACCCTTCAGTCCATAAGCCAATGCTCTATCCACTGAGCCAAACCGGTTACGGTTCCCATGTATTTTTAAAAATATTTTTTTATTGATTTCAGAGAGGAAGGGAGAGGGAGAGAGATAGAAACATCAATGATGACAGAGAATCATTGATTGGCTGCCTCCTGCACACCCACACTGGGGACCGAGCCCACAACCTGGGCATGTGCCCTTGACCCGGAATTGAACCTGGAACCCTTCAGTCTGCAAGTCGATGCTCTATCCACTGAGCCAAACCAGCTAGGGCTTTAACCCTTTGAATGCCAACCAATATCCTAGGAACTATGCTAAAATTGCCAAGGCATTTTTGCTGATTTTACAGCAATTTAGGAAAAAAATTATGAGTTGCAAGTAAATGAAGTTACATATTCAAAAACTTAAGGAAACCTTTACTACATTTGTTTTCTGCACTTCGGTGCCATCTGTCAATAAAGAGTGAACTACTAGCACCTAATAGTGACACTGCAGGAACGCGATAGTGCTCCTGGCACTTTTGGCGAAAGACAGGAGGAGCGCGATCGCACTCCCCGGCACTCTAGGGGTTAATGTATGTTTTAAAATTGATTTTATTTATTTATTTATTTATTTTAAATTGATTTGAGAGGGAGAGGAGCGGAGGAGAGATATTGATGAGAAACATGAAAGCTGTGGTACATTTACACTATGGAATACTATGCAGCTGTAAAAAAGGATCTCGCACCCTTTCAGAGATCATGGAGAGACCTGGAGAGTATTATGCTAAGCAAAATAAGCCAGTCGGAGAAAGACAAGTATCATATGATCTCACTCATTTGTGGAATCTAATGAACACAATAAAGTAGTGAACAAAATAGATCCAATCCAAAGACATGGAAGCCTCCCCGCCTGCTGGTCCGAGGGCCTTAAGGACACGTAGGCCACATGCACAGGGAGAGGAGACGAGGCCCGTGAGAGACGTGCCCTTCTCCCACCTGAGTCCTTGCAGCTCTGCGCTCTGGTGTGGCAGGTAAGTAGCGTGGGCAGGCTGACAGGTGCAAGAGCAGTGGCCATACCCATGGGGCCAGAGGCACCTTGACTGCCGCCCACTGCCAGTGCTGCATCAGCAATGCCTGCCATGGCCCCGTGCTGCCCCCTGGAGGTCAGCATGCATCATAGCAAGCAATGAACTCCCGGTGGAGGGGACAATTTGCATATTAGGCTTTTATTATATAGGCTTAGCCTTGAAGAGACAAGCCTTGAACAAATAATGCATTTATCATATGAGCAATCAATTGCCTCTTCTTTTAAAAAAAATATTTTTATTGATTTCAGAGAGGAAGGGAAAGGGAGAGACATAGAATGGGAAAGAAAATTGATCGGCTGCCTCCTGCACACCCCCTACTGGAGATCCAGCCCCTAATCCAGGCATGCGCCCTCCACCGGAATGGAACCCAGGACCCTTCCATCCACAGGCCAACGCTCTACCCACTGAGCCAAACAAGCCAGGGCTCTATCACCTCTTCTTTTTTTTTAATGTTTTATTGATTTTTTTACAGAGAGGAAGGGAGAGGGATAGAGAGTTAGAAACATCCATGAGAGAGAAACACTGATCAGCTGCCTCCTGCATGCCCCACACTGGGGATGTGCCCGCAACCAAGGTACATGCCCTTGAGCAGAATCGAACCTGGGACCCTTCAGTCCGCAGGACGACGCTCTATCCACTGAGCCAAACCGGTTAGGGCAGCTCTATCACCTCTTCTTAAGACGCCCCCTCCCAAGACTCCTCTCCAAGACCTCACAGAGCCCCTGCCCGCAACCCGCTGGGCGGCTGCTGCTCCTGATGCCGGTCGGCCCTAGCGGAACCGTCCTCTCCCAGCTTTGAAGATCTTCCCCGGCTGAACTCGAGGGCACGGAGAGGTTGATTCACTTGTAGCCCAGGGCCCGGTGCTCGGCGGCCAGCGAGCGTTGAGCTACGCGAAAGAGCCTCCGCGGCCCCTGAACAAACCATTTACCGCTTTCTCCATCCCCCGCGGAAAGATCGCCCATCCTCACGCTCCGCCCACTGGGAGCCGACGCCCCGCCCCGCCCCGCGCCGGAAGCCGGCGGACTATAACTCCCAGCGGTCTGCGCGGGGCGCTGTCCAATCGTCAGGCGCAGCCGCGAGAGGCGGGGCCCATATATACTCCCGCCGGGCGCCCCGCCATCCTTTCTCCCAGCGCCGCGCGCCTGGTGACTTGTGTTGTGGGGACCCGCCGGCCGCCACGCGCGCCGTCCTCCACTCCCCAGCCCGTCGCTCTTGGCCTCGTCGCCATCGGCCCCGCACTCACCTGCGCTGCTCCCGAGGCTGCAGGATGCGAAGTGCGGACTGGAGCAGCCGGCCTCCCCGCCTGCCGGGCCGCGGGCCTTCGGGCGCGGAGGCCGCACGCGCAGGGGGAGGGGCCGAGGCCCGTGAGTCCGCGCGGCTCTGCGCTCGGGTTGACGGGTAAGGAGCGCGGGCAGGCGGCCGGTGCACGGCAGTCCTGAGCCTGGAGTGTTTAATTTGGGGACGGCCGCGTGCTGTCCGCCAGACCGAATCGAACCTGAATCTGCCGGTGACCTTGGGGGAGGGACCGCACCGTAATCCCACGGCTGCACCACATGTGGCGGAGGGCGGGTTAGTCATTCGCGTGCCGAGTGGTAACGGACCTACAAGGGTGCTGTTTGGCCTCCAGGACGATGCGTGTCCGTAGGCAGTAACGATGCACAGGATTAGGCAGCTCGGCCGAGAGCGGCTGGGGTTGCCCCGCGCGGCACAGTGGCCCTTATCGAAGCTGCAGCTGCTTCCACGTAGCTGCTGCGGTCAAAAAGGAGCCCAGAGTGACAGTTTTCCTTGACGGTCGCCGTTCTGTTTGCTGTAACCGATCTGCAACATTTCAGGAAAAGACAGTTCTCATGGATCTGCCGTCTCTCACATAAACGGACCTTTATGAAAGTTGCCGTGTTTTCAGAGGTCCGCAGAAATTAGACAGTGCGGCGATTTCCAGCCGGTGTGGCAAGAATTTTTAAAACGATGCAACATCTGACTAGTCAGGGCACTGATCTCTTTTCCTTTAGATGGCCGTTTAGTCTGTACCATGAGATGGAAAGGTTGAATGTCCCTGTGATAGGGACTTGCGTATAGGATTAACAGAATAAGCGTTTTGAGAAGTAGCTTGTTGAGGCCAACCAAGATAGTATGGGGGCGGGGGGGGAGTGGTTTAGACATCAATATGGGGAAATCCAGTGGCGAGCAGCGCAGATCGTGGCCATGCTTTAGGTCATTGCCCTCAAAAGTTAAAGGCGTTAGTACCAGCATCAAAGGCCAGTTAAACCTTTATGGTTCTGAAGACCCAAGAAGGATCATTCAGGACAATTTCTGTTCTCATCTTAGCGGTGCCAGATGAAGACTGCAGGATGGTTCGAGTTGATTCTGCTGGGTGAGCACGCTGGAGTCATGCCAGTGAGGGCACCGCAGGACCTGGTAGGTTTCTTGTGGAGACTTGAGAGCTGCCGGGTGGGTCAGTGCAGCATGTTCCCAAGGGCTGTGGCTGGTGTAGCCATGGGCTCTCCAACTGCATGCAAGAGCAACCTGGAGAGACTTTGACAGCTCAGGTCAGCATAATACCTGCAGCTGCCACTCGCCTTTCCTATATCTCAGGACCTGGGCTCGGGAGCCTTCCACCTGGGCCCATGCAGGTGGATGTACTGAATCAACTTTTTGGTTTAGAGCTTTCACCCTTTTCTCCTGTAGGTTGCCTCCATGTTTCCTGGCAGTGTCTGATAATGACGTAGCTGAAGATACCAGCTTTTTGCTGCCCTGTTTTAGAATAAGGTAAAGTTAGATGTTGAAAACAACCGACCCTCCAGTTCCCTTTCCCATCGGATCTGAACACCGATCTTGGTGGTCGCAGAGGAGGAAAAGTAATAGTGAAGCTGGCCTCACAGTGCCTACAGCCTGTGGGCTAGTTTCAAACAGGGTTGAATTCACTTTGAACTTGTTTCGTCCTTTCCTATAAAATGAGATAAAGGGAGGATGGATGGATGTGAATCTGGGCAGTTGGTGTAATGATTGCTGACTAATATTTCTTTCTTTGGAACAGCTTTTAAGTGACTTTTTTTTTTTTTTTTAGATCTTTTACCAGTAAACTGTCTTCATTTGTAATTCAGGATCTACAGAGTTGGGTAAGTTGAATAGCTACCTGCCCTGAACTTTGAGCAGCAAGAACTGATTGCTGTGAATATTCTCATTTGGGGTAACCTCAAACCACAGTCTTACCCTCTTTCCCCAGGGAGAGTGGAAGATAGATTTGGTAGAAACAAGTCATGCCACCTAGTTGGGGATTTTTTTTTTAGGGTGACTGGTCTGGGATGAAACCTAATCTGAGTGGACATCTATGGATGATAAATGCGGATATGGGACTGAGACCAGCTCTTACGAAAGTGCCTGCGTGGCATTTATTAATTGGGGTAGTACTAACACACTGGCTTATACTTCCTTTACAGGAGAGCTCCACAGTAAGAGACAAGCGAAAAGACAAGTTTGTGAAGGAGATGGACTGTTCTGCTGTTCTACTTAAGTAACAAAAATCTCAGCTTCTCCAGGCTGCAAGGCCTGCTGGTTCTTGAACTAAGCCTTTGCCCACCCCTCATTGTGGGGCTGGTTCCTCATCCATCCTGCCCTGCAGCATGAATTGTCTTGTGTGCTACGTACATTCCCTTAATAAATTCTTGATGTAATGACGTTGTCAGCTTCTTTCTTTGGGCTCAGCCCCAGGAAATTTTCCTAACAGGTTATTTTAGGAGGAAACTGTGACATGTCATGTTTTTTTTCTTTTTGAATGCTGGTATATAAATCTAAATATTAAAGACCCAAGTTAATTCATAGTCTGTCTCGATGTAAAAAAGTCTGACCTCTCAGAAAGACCAATATGATCAGTTCCATAATTGCAATTAGATGTAGTTCTCCTTTGCTGAGCCTAAGATTGGACCTTTGAAGGCTTTTTGTGGTATAGGCACTTGAACTCGGAAGTTTATCTCCCCTTACTTTGCCACCCCCCAAATTACTCTGGCACAAAACTAAAATCTGAAGCAGATTTCTAGCATAGACCCAGACTTCTCAGGAAGAGGGTACCACATGACAATATAAGTTGGAAAATGGGCTTTCCTGATTTGTTTGGATAATGTGTGGAAGGTCTGATGCATTTACACCCTGAACTAGGCAGGCACCCCCTGCTGCTGAAAGTTTTACTAGTGGCCACATTTGAAGCCAATGTTGGGAGTACTTAAATGGCAGGCAGAAATTGCTCATTTTATATAGCAGGTAATCCATATATTCAGATCCCAGAGAATTAAAAGGACTTAGGTGTCACCTGAGAAGGGTCCCTGGCTAAACTGATTCATATCATTTGTAATTCTACTTTGGTTAGTAATTCCAGCCTTGGCTTGTCTGGCTTGGTTGAGTGTCCTCCTGTGTCACAGGTTCAATTCCCAGGTAGGGCACATGCCCAGGTTATGGCTTCAGTCCAGATCAGGGTGTCAACAGGAGGTAACCAATGTTTCTCCCTCTCCCCTTTTTAGATTTTTAAAACCATAAAAAATCCAAACTGTTACCTCCAGGAGTTCAGATAACTACTGGATAAATGATTGTTTGAAGACACATGGGAACCTTGTTCAACCCTCTTCAAGTTGGTCCCTTGGTTTTCAAACTCAAAGGGCTATCAAATAAAGGCAGCAGTGTTGCACTAATATTCATAATCTCATGAAAGTTGATTATTAAAATCGTATAAAACATTTCCCAAAAGGTGAAAGTTCTTGAGTTGTTTTTAAAGAAGTCTTTTCTCCCTCACATAGTCCTCCATTCTGGCCTGTCCTTTGTCTTGGCTACATCACAGCAGGGATCTCTGAAGACACTGTGTCCAGGGGCTGCCAGTGACAATCCATCAGTGCATCATACAGCTCCTCACTCTGCTCCATGAACTCCTTGTTGGCCTCGGTCACATCCAGCTGTGGCATGGGGTCTGGAACAGAACCAAGCATGTATTTAGGGAGCACCTAGGGGAGAAAGTACTCGGGAGCCACAAGACCATGAGACACAGGTTCAGTTCCCTGTTCCCAGGACCTCTGTTTCCTAGGGCAAGTTCCCTATCTGTGCCAGAGTTCCCTCCTAACTTGGGCTGATACAATTGCCTTGCAGGATTCCTGTGAGGATGAAAATAGGATAATGTAAGGTGTAGATAGTACTCAAATAATAGTCTACATTTATTAAAAGCAACACCTATATTTAGCTATCATGTGTCTGAATTTTCTGGTGTGGTTATTTGAATTTTGAGCTTGGAAATTGATCCAAATTTACTAAGTCCAAAGCACTAGTCTTAAAATTAATATACCACTGAAAATGAACCTTGCCCTGGCCAGTGTGGCTGAGTTGAGTATTGTCTTATGCACTGAAAGGTTGCCAGTTAGATTTCGAGTTAGAGTACCTACCCAGGTTGTGTGTTCGATCCCCAGTCGGGGTGCGTATCAGGGTGCATATGGGAAGCAACCAATCGATGTTTCTCACATCAATGTTTCTAAAATCAGTAAAACACAACCTTGGCTGCACACAACTTGAGTCTAAACTTGCATTAGTATTGAATAACAGAAGACAGTAGTACATTCAGTATGACTGCATTATACAAAGGCCCAAAATGAAAAACTAAACCATATTGTTCAGGGATATATTCCTAGGTGATAAAACTATAAAGAGAAGGAAAAAAATGGTTACCACAGGAAGCTGTGGGTTGTGATTGGGGGAAGGATGGCTTCTGGAGGCTGGTAGTATTCTACTTAACTGGAATTCAGGTCTCATGGGCAACTGCTTTATAATTACATGTTAAACTATACATTTGCTTTATGTACTTTTCTTTCTTTTTTTAACTATGCTTTTATTGGTTTTAGAGAGGAAGGGAGAGGGAGAGAAAAACATTGATTGGTTGCCTCCTGTACAAGGCACCCTGACCAGGAACCAAATCCAAAACCTGGGCATGTGCCCTGACCAAGAATTGAACCAGCAACCTTTTGGTGCACAGGCGGATGCTCAACCAAATGAGCCACACCGGACAGGGCTGCTTTATGTACTTTTCCATGTATGTGTTATCTTTCACAATAAAAGTCCAAAATAATACTTAATTACTATGATAACATTTTATATTTTTGGTCTGTGTTGGTTTAAAATGCACACACACATTGATTAAAACACATTTAAAAACAAACTGGAAGTTAAAGAATACCTAATAAACAGAAAGACATCTCAGGTACTTGGATTGAAAGATGATTTTGTAAAGATGGAAAAGTTCTCCAAATTGGTCTATAGCTGCAGCTGTTTTGTTTTGTTTTGCAGAAAATGATAAGCTGATCATAAAATTTTTATGGAAATGCAAGGAATCCAGACTAGCCAAAACAATCTTTAAAAAGAACAAAGTTCAAGGACTCACGCTTCCCCATTTCAAAACTTACTGAAAAGCTACAGTAAGAAAGACCAGCAGTGGTTTAAGGATAGACACAGATCAATTGACTAGGGTTAAGAGCCCCAAACTAAACCTATACATTTATAGAAAACTGCTTTTCAACAAGTGTACCAAAGACAATTCAAAGGGTAAAGAACAGTTTTTCAACAAATGGTGCTGGATTAACTATAATTATATAGGCCGGGGCAAAGTAGGTTTACAGTTGTGAGTATGCAAAAGGTTATTCTTATTTTTTGTATTGTATTTTTTATATTATTTTTTGAAAGAATAGTTTATTGATATTTAGAGAGAGGAAGGGAGGGAAACATGGATTGGCTGCCTCCTGCAGGCCCCCCACTGGGGATCGAGCCCACAACTTGGACATGTGTCCTTACCTGGAATCAAACCTACAACCACAGGATGACCCCCAACCAACTGGACAGGGCTTGTATTATTATTTATTAACTGTTGTATTATTTTCCATATGAACAACCGTAAGCCTGTATTTGCCTCACCCTCTATAAGGTGACTTAACTAGATTTAGTGCAGTGATAATTTTGCAATATATCAAAATTGAATTATATATCTAAAACATACATTTTGTTTAACATATCATGTATTGGATATTTATCTGTATTGATGATTATCATTGGGGATAAAATCTTTCTAGTAAAATTACTGATTCAAAGCATATAAACATAGTAAGAACTAACTTTTACAGAAACATGGTATATTCTAATTTGTATTTATTAATAGTGTGATAGCTGAATTTTATGTGTAAACTTGGCTAGGCTATGATGCCCAATTGTTTGGTCAACCACCAGTCTAATGTTGCTGTAATGGTATTTTGTAGATGTGATTAACATCTGCAATCAGTGATTTTTTTTTTAAGTTTTGCTTCTGATTTTAATTATTTATTACTGATTGATTAAAAAAAATTTTCTTTAAGCAATTTTTAGAGAGAGGAAGGAAGAAGGCGAGAGAGAAACATCGATGGGAGGGTGAAGCATTGATCAGCTGCCTCCTCCATGCCTCCCACCGGGAATCAAACCAGCAACCTTTTGGTGCATGGGACAACGCCCAACCAACTGAACCACACTGGCCAGGGCCGTTCATTGATTCTTGTATGTGCCCTGACCAGGGATTGAACCTGCAAACTTGGCCTATCAAGACGGTGATCTAACCAACTTAGTTACCTGGCCTAGGCTGACACACACTTCTTACTGGAATTATGTATACACTGGATCTCTCATTAGAATGTAAGTTCTTCTAGGCAGAATTCACCATGCATTCCTTTAGCATCCAGCTAAAGGCACAGTGCCAGCCACACAGCAATCACTGTATTATGGCTGACAGAGGGAATGAGTGATGGGCTCCTTCCTTACCTTCCAAAGCATCATCTCCAACTTCTTCATATGTCTGTCAAGAGACAGAGAGGTTGGGTGAGAGGGATCCTGGCCCATAACAAGGACGGCTTATTTTTATTTTTATTTATTTATTATTTTTTAAAAATATATTTGATTTTTTACAGAGAGGAAGGGAGAGGGACAGAGAGTTAGAAACATCGATGAGAGAGAAACATCGATCAGCTGCCCCTGCACATCTCCCACTGGGGATGTGCCCGCAACCAAGGTACATGCCCTTGACCGGAATCGAACCTGGGACCCTTCAGTCCGCAGGCCGACGTTCTATCCACTGAGCCAAACCGGTTAGGGCAGGATGGCTTATTTATTTATTCTTTTTAGGATGGCTTATTTTTAACAAGAGCAACTAGGTTGCTTCATCTTTCCCCATTTTTTTTCTGAAGCCCAAGCCCCCGTCCTTATCAATCCCACCCTGGAGAATGACCCATGTCTCTAAAGGATGACAAAACCCGAGAGAGCAGACTTGCCAAATCATGGTTACCTGCATGGTGCTCTGGGTATAGCCATACTGGGGATAACTGTAGCTGTAGCTGCCTGTATTCTGGTCATAGCCCCACTGAGCATAGTAGTTCTGGTACTGCTGGTAATACTGGTTGTAGCTGTAACTGTACATCTGACTGTATTCCACGGGCTTCACACGACTACTGTGAAGAAAGAACCAAAAATAAACAAATGTGAGCAAACATTCCTGTAATACTTATTAACTGAACAAGGACTTTTCTAAGCACTTTACACAGATTGACTTCATTTCATCCCCACAACAATCTCTTGCAAAAGTATACATTATTCCTATTTTACAGATGAGGAAACTGAGGTACACAGAGGTTACATAATTTGTCCAAGGCCACACAGCTAAACGTGATTCAAGCCAGGCAGTCTGGCTCTACAGCCCATGGTTTGAAGATAGGAGTTTTCAATGGTTACGTTCCTCTCTGTTACCAAACTTTGTCAGTACTGACCTTTTCCTCTTCCCAAGATCTTGGGGGGCGGAGGGGAGGGGCGGTGTCTGCTTTTTACCACCCATAAAGGCTCAGGTAAACATGGCTAAAGAATCTAGATCTAGGATGACCCAAAAAGCTTTTCAAACTTCAAAATATCTAATCATCTCCTACAAAGAATTAAGAGAAGTGCTCCAGTAGCCTTATCGTCATCACTGTAGTCATAGCTACCATTTATGGAGTAGGTACTCAGGAGCTGTGCCAATTACTTTTCATATATGGTCTCCTGTTTTAAGTCATGCACAATCCTATGATACAGCAATTATGTATTATTCCCATTATACAGATAAGACTACTGAGTCTGAAAGGTTAAGTGATTTACTCAATACCACGCCCACAACTGGAGCCGAATGTAACTACAAGGTTCATGCTAACACCAGACCATTACATACAGCAGCTGGCCTGATGGACTCAAGTGTCCTACATCCTGTATCTGCCAGTCAGGGCTGAGGAAAGCTTTCTTATTCTGATTGTACAGCTGCTCCAGCTGCTAACCAAAGGCAATGTCAAGTCTGCAAAGGACCCATTGCTCTCAAAAACAAAGTACATGTGAGTACTTATGTTTTCAAACTTCTGAAAAAGGCCTGAGGTATGACAGCAGTCCCAGCTGACAGGAATGAAAGAACATAACTGAAGACATGACAATGTTCCTCCAGAGTCATTGTACTCGGTGGGCCAGAGTCTACCATAGGTGCACACCAAACACGCACAGGAGGCAAAGGCTGGTTTATAAGGAAAGTTGTAACAGTCACATAGTGCGGGACGTGGGACGTCCTCGATTGGTGCATTCTATCTCGGAGTGAAACCAAAGAAGAAACCAAGTCATAAGCAGGAGTTGAACCACCATAGAAATCCCCATCACAGGAACCACAAAATGCTCAAGTCTGAATGAGCTCTTCCCAAGTTCTTTGCAAATTCAATGTCTGTGTGGTGAGCAGGACTCAGCCAGAGCAGTTTGAGACTCCACATCTGATCACCTCCTGACAGGGTGGCTCGATGATGTCAAACAGCATGACTCCCTCTCCCTGCCCAGGGCCAGGCTGAAAACTGACAATACTTTGTCTCCATAACGCCCCTTCCATGGTGCTTCCAAGGTCCACCACCCTCCTGCCATGTTCAGGTACTTGAAGGTAGTCTCTCCACACTCAGCTCTTACAGTCTAGCTCTCAAAGGGAACTCTTACCTCCCTCAATTCCTACAGCCTAGAAACAGGCACCAAATACTGACAACATTCAGTGAAGAACTAGATGTAACAGAATATAACCTCTCTGCAGAAGGGACTCTGTCAGAACATACAACCAGAACGATTACCTGCAGAAAAATTTAATGATGATTGGGCAACTATGTGGAAAAGTGAGTGTGTATACTGAGTAAACTGGGGGGAAAGAGCACTGTTATTGTGAAATGAACAAAGAAATCAATCTACAGCATGTAAACTGACTCATATGTAGTGTGTGTATGTATATGTATATGTATATGTATATGTATGTGTATATGTATATGTCATGGATAGCTAAGGAGGAGCTGGAAACAAACTCAGAAATTATAGTCAGTCACTTGAGGGTAACGAGGAAATTTCTTTCTTTTAAATAGCTTCTTTAATGTTTTCATATATATAAGAGAGTTTAGAAAAAATAACACTTTGGGGGAGAAATCACTCAGGCTTCTTTTCTCTGTGTTAAAAGCACAAGCCATAAGGATCCTGCAAATCCTTTGCTGCTGTGAAAACATGGTCATTTGGAAGCCCCACCCTAAAGCAGCAGCCCATCTCGTATCTCTGGAAGAGCTTTTCCGTCTTGGCATTACTGACATTGGCAGAGGGAGGGGAGCAGATAAGTGCTTGTTGTGGGGGTTGTCCTGTGCATCATCAGATGTTTAGAGCATCTATTCATTGGATGCCAGTAATACCCTCTCTGAGTTGTAACAACTAAAGTTGTCTCCAGATGTTGCCAATGGCCCCTGGCGGGCAAAAGTTGCCCCTAATAGACAATTACTGCTTTGGTCAAAGGATGAAGATTCTATGCAGAAAAAAGTTGTCTTACATCTGAGTGAGAAACCTGCTTGGAGTTGTTTTCTGCCTAGCAATGATAGGTACAATAGTGATGTATATACTAGTCTATAGAGTGTTTGGATCATTAATCCTCAGCCATTCCCATAGCATGGGACAGTCACAGGTTTATAGGTTTCACTGACATAAATAAGCTTAAAATTGGGTGTAAATTTTTCCTTCTGTTCAATTCTTAATCTCTGGGTCAATGTCTAACAGTGGCACTACGGAGCAAAGAGCGGGGGCATTACGTATGTGGTACCAAACTGCTTCTCCAGCACTGCTATCAGCAATGTCTGAACGTATCTGTCTTCCAGGTCAGAGCTCTCCCACGAACCATAAGCTCCTGGAGGGTTATGCTCATTCATCTCCAACACCCAGCAAACAGCCTGGCGAATATCAGGCATTCCTTATTTGTGAGTGAACTGAATCTCTCTATAGCCTCCCATCCAGCATGTGGATGCTCTGAGGATCAACAAACAGGTGAGGAGTATCCAGGTGGGGGTCGTTCCAGAGGCCCTCTACCTTCCCTGTCAGCACAGGACTCACGCTTTAGGGATTGCCACACTCAGCCGCACTGGTTTAGATCCCAGTCCTACTGCTCCCTGGCACTCTGTCAGGGCTCGCTTCTGTTCCAGTTCATCTGTGAACTTCACAAAACCATAGCCCCTGCAGGAAAAAACACCACACACAAGATATATAGATCACAAATGGAATGAAGGTAAAGTCTAAGAATGGAAAAGGGGCTGAAAGGGATAGAGAGCCCATCAAACTATGTGGGCAGGAATGAGAGCCCCATCGGGGAGGCGTGTCGCAGAGCAATGTGAGATTCAAGCACTGGAGGATCCCGAGATCTACAGGAATCCCCACCTTCAGCTCACCACTCTCTCTCCACTTTCACTGGTGAGTCTCCTGCCCAAACAGTAACTTCCCTCCCAATCTACTAGGAAATATTACTTTCATTATGGTAACAGCAGTAGTAATAGTTCCTTCAGCAAATATTTATTGAGTCTGTCTATATGCACTAGGTCTTGGTAGTCATAAGCAGACAAGGTTCTTGATCTCCTGAACTCATCTTCTCCCAGGGGGAATAGATGGATGATAGCTAATATCTAATGAACACTACCTCCCAGACACTGTGCTGAGCATTTTTCCAGGGTTATCTCATTGAACGGTCCAACAATTTGATGTAGTATCCACATTTTACTGAAGAGGGAACTAAGTTCAGAAAGGTTTACCAATCGGCCCAAAGTCACAGTAGAAGCAGGATTCAAATCCAAGTTTCTCAGACTTAAAAGAATGAGCGTGTTTTTTTTTTTGAGGCTTTTCCCCTTTTTAAGTAAAAATAATAAAATACAAACACCTATACAGCATTTCCTACTGCTTTAGTTATATTACATCATTTAATCCCTACATTGCCCCTGTGAGCAGATACTATGAATCAGTCCTGTTTCATAGATGAGGAAATGGGCTCAGAGATTCAGTAACCTGTCTCCTGTACTATACCTGGCTGGTCCTGGAGCCAGGATTCCAACCCAGGCAGTTTGGTTCTAGAACCTGTGCGCTTAACTACCATACTACATGACCTTTCTATGGCACCTCAATCCATGAGAAAAATGCTGAAACTAACAGGGTGAGCATCAGTAACATGGAAGGCCTTACTTAGACACGCCTGTCTGGTCCAAAACCACCTTGCCTCCCCGGCAGGAGGGGTAGACTTTGACAAAGAATTCATACAGCATGCCGTCATCCACGTCTGGGGTCAGGTCCCCCACAAAGAGGGAGTACTCAGGGCTGAGAGGAGAGAACAAGATTCAGAGACAAAGACCTTTGTTCTGACAACTTTTGGCCCATTCTAGGTAAACCCTTTCTGAGCCTTTGTAGGGAATGACACATCTGGTGGGTCCTTAACCAGGTCCTAATTTGTTTCATTTGGCAGTCCCGGCAGAAGGTATGGAGGTAGTTCTCTGCTCCACCCAAGTCTTTCATCCATCCACTGCACAAAAGTTGTCTGGCTTCAAGGATTACATGAGTGCAGATGGAGGTCGAGGTCAGAGGTACTCAAAATATAAAACTAGGTATTTTGCAGTCATTGCATTTTTAAAAATCCTTACCTGAGGATATTTTCCCATTGCTTTTAGATAAGAATGGTAGAAAGGTGTGGGGAGAGAAAGAAACATCAATATGAGAGACACATCCACTGGTTGCCTCCCGCACACGCCCCAAGCAGGGCTGTGGATCAAACCTGCAACCCAGGTGCGTGTCCTTGACCAGTAATCGAACCCGAGACCCTTCAGTGTGAGGGCCAACACTCTAACAACTGAACCAAACCAGCCAGGGCATCATTGCATACTTTTAACTTAAATGGTGAAACACAGAGAGAATGAGAACTGGTTATTATCTACTAAACACCTTAAAACCTAGCTAAATGCAATCTCCCCAATTTTAGAATAAGGGTCATCCAACTTTTCCTGTAAAAGACCACTTTTTTTCCTGATAGCATTTTTTCACTTTTAACTTAGCCAACATCTTGACATGTCATTATTCTGCTACAACATGACTTATTAATGGATATATTGCACTTCTATTAATGCACATATTGTAATTTAAACCACTTCCCTATTATTAGATTTGGTTTTCCCCCAATTTTGCCCACTATACATAACATTTCAATTAACACCTTTGAGGCTAATCTTACCCACATGATGAATAAATTCTGAGAAGCAGAATTATGGAGGTGAGTGGGTACAAATCTTTCTAAAGATTTTGATACATTGTTTTAAAGTTTTCACACAGCAACCTGAAATGCTGAATCAAATTATACTGCTATATGCCCGGCTGGTGTGGCTCAGAGGTTGAGCGTCGTCGACCCAAGAACCAAGAGGTCGCCAGCTCGATTCCCAGTCAGAGCACATGCCCAGGTTGTGGGCTCCATCCCCAGTGGGGGCCGTGCAAGAGGCAGCAAATCGATGACTTCCTCTCTCATCAATCTTTCTCTCTCTCTCTATCCCTCCTTCCTCTCTCTAAAAATCAATAAAAATATATTTTTTAAAAATTACATTTCTACAACAAGTCAATTATTATGGAATAAAACCTCAACACTGAGGGAAGTAATGGGGTAGAAGGCTAGAAAGAGACCAAATATAGAGAAGACACAGGCCTCCACATGAAGCATAACAGTAAGGTGCCCTCCTTCAGGAGGGAGGCAAAGTGGAGCCAAACTCAACCCCCTATCCTCCTCTTTGGTGGTGACCTGCCCAGTGACACATCTTGTCCCTCTCTAGACATTTCCTGGGGCTTGAAGCTAGGTCGGGGCTACTCTGTACTTACCTGTTATCTGGTTGTTTCCCATAAGTAGCATAGTTCAGTTTAAAACGTTTTGCCTGGAAATTTAAAAACAAACAAACTAAAACAGAGAAAGGTGTTTTAAGAGTCAAACAATATTTGAAAAAAACTGAAATAAATTACCTTGCCAAAACATCTCCCCCTCTCTAAGCCTCAGCTTTTCTCCTGTATAAAATGAGGGGGTTGCACGGATGACCGCTAAGGGCACTGCCAGCTCCATGGTTCTATGAGCCCCCGTGTGCCAGCTTGGTGCAGCTGGAAGCTAAGTAACTGTGGGAAGAGCAAAATGTAACTCTCTTGAAATGTGTCCTCACTTCTGCCAGCCTGTTCTACTTTCTCAATCAGGCAAGAGGTCTAGTTTCAAGTCTTCCATTAAGAGAGGCAGAGGTGCAGAGTGGAAAGGGCATGGGTTTCAGGGTCAATCTTCATTTTGCTTCCTGGCATTGCCACTTACTACCTGTTTTGCCTTGGGCAAGTTATTCCACTTCCCTGAGCTTCAGTTTCCCAGGCTGTCAAAGATAACAATGCCTACTCTTCAGGGTTGTTACAGAATTAAATAAAATAATATAAATATATAGTAGGGATTCAATAAATGACAGTTACTGACAACAATAAAAATGGCAACATCATCATTATCTAAGTGTCCTTACAGGTGTGGCTCCTGGAAGGGGTTTCCCATTAATTTTATGCAAACACTTCTCGGCTGTGGCCAAATCTGCAAATTCTACAAAACAGTAACCAGCTGGGATCCTGGAAAGAAAGAAAACAGAGAGAATGGTTAAAGATGCGGTTCCCAGATGTGAGACTGAAGGGAGGGAAAACTGTTTTTCTAACCAGAGCCCACACTGTTTTTGTTCCCTGCCAAATTCCAGTTCAGAACTTACAAATAGAGGAACTGTTGCACGGCCTGCATGGTTTAGTGGTTGAGCATCGACCATGAACCAGGTCACAGTTCGATTCCCAGTCAGGGCACATGCCCGGATTGTGGGTTCGATTCCCAGTAGGAGGTACGCAAGGAGGCAGCCAATCAATGATTCTCATCATTGATGTTTCTATCTCTCCCTCCCCCCCTTTCCTCTTTGAAATAAATAAAAATATGTTAAGTATATATATAATGACTGTCCATCTGGGCCAGTCCCAGACTTAGTAAACATTTATGTACTGTTTTACCTATGAAGTACTTTTGCCAAAAATGTTTAATACAATCCAATCAAACTTTAAGTTTACAGGAAATATTAGAAACAGAACAAGTAAAACACAAAGAATCAAAGAAATCCAGAATATAGGACCAGAATCCAGAATGTAGGACCTTATGTAAGACAATTAGTTTTCCTTTTTAAAAAGTCAATGTTTATGAGAAAAGAAGTGGACTTTTCTACACTGAAAAGTGTAGACTAAAAACCTAAATGCAATGCAATACCTGATCTCTGATTAGATCCCAATTCATTAAAAAGCAAACCAAAAAAGCTGAAAAAGATAGTCTGAGAACAATTATAAAAATTTAAAGACTGGCCAATATATGGTATATCATTATTAATTTTCTTACTGTGATATGAGCATGTGGTTATCTAAGAGAATGTCCAGTTTTGGGCAATGAATGCTTAAATATTTAGAAGTGAAGTGTCACAATGCCTGTATTTTACTTTCCAATGGTTCGGCAAAAAGAAATCATCTAACTATATATCTTTCTAAAGATAGACTTAGCCCAGCTGGTATGGCTCAGTGGTTGAGCATGGACCTATGAACCAGGAGGTCACGGTTCGATTTCCAGTCATGGCATATGCCCAGGTTGCAGGCTAGATCCCCAGTGGGGGGTGTGCAGGTGGCAGCCGATCAATTATTCTTTATCATCATTGATGTTTCTATCTCTCCCTCTCCTTCCCACTCTGGAAAAAAAAAGGATAGATTTGGATAAATAAGGAAAATATGGCAACATGTTAATAATTGTTGAAATTAGGTGGTGGCTGTATGATTATTCATTATACTATCTTTGTAGGTTTGTTTGAAATTTTTCATATTAAAACTTAAAAAATTTTTTTAAAATATTTTTATTGATTTCAAGAGAGGAAGGGAGAGGGAGAAAGAGACAGAAGATCAATGATGAGAGAGAGAGAGTCACTGATTGGCTGCCTCCTGCATACCCCCCTCTGGGGATAGAGCCCACAACCCAGGCATGTTCCCTTGACTGGAATCGAACCTGGGACCCTATCCACTAAGCCAAACCAGCTAGGGCTTAAAACATTTTAAAATCACCTCCAGAGGCTGATACAGAGTTGGAGAACATGGTTCCTATCCTCAAGAAACTTACAATCTAGTTAGATAAAGTAAACCACGGACCTTACCTACTGGGGGATAACCATGAGGTTCCTAGTGTTCTGATTTTAATAGCATCACTAGGAGGATGTGGCTATATCTTCTTCCTACTAAAAGATACTGACAACTGTTAACTTCCTTAACATCAACCTTAAAGCTATCACCAGTGAAAGAATCCCAGCTTTTCTGGAAATACTATTTTAGATCTTACCAAGAAGGTACGGGCAAGAGCAATACCTAAGCCCAAGGATCACAGAATAGTCTATGAGCTCCATAAATGATTGCTGATGTTAAGAAAAATGGTGGGCCAAATCTGTGTGTGGAATCTTAAGGCTCACAGATGTAAAGACCACCACCTGCGAGAACTGATCACTCATCTAGGGCCAGCCACTGTGGAACATTTCACATGCACCATCTCATCTAATCCTCACATTACGCCATGAGGCAAAAAAAGCATTACACCCATTTATATGAGAAGACTGAGACGTAACAGGATTATACAATACGCCGTAAAGCACACAGCTGGTACGTGCCAAAGGTTGGATTTGAATTCAGGATAGTGTGATTACATCCTTTACCCAACATTATATTATGACAAATTCCCAACATAAAAACTGAAATAACTCTACAGCAAACACCCACACATGCATCACCTGCGATGAATATTTTATCATAATATTTTATCCAACTATCCATCCTTCTACCCATGTATCATCCTTATTTTTTTGATACATTTCAAAGTAAGTTGCAGACATTGGTGTACTTGCCTCAATGACTTTAACATGAATATTGTTGCCTAGAGTTCAATGATCATTTATAGTTTTTTTCTCTTTTGGTTTATATGCAATGAAATGCACAAATCTTCTAGATCATGAGTTATTTCTACCACAGATGAATTTTGTATATTCTAGAATTTTCAATTAGTGGAATCATACAGTAAGGCTTCGTTCATATAGCATAATGCCTTTGACATTCATTCATGTTGTCACTATGGAAGTAGTTTGTTCCTTTTTTTAAAAAAAATCTTTACCAGAGAACATGTTTTTATTGATTTTTAGAGAGAGGAACAGAGGGGGGCACACTGAGAGAAATATCAATGTGAGAGAGACATAGCCTGCCACCCAGGTATGTGCCCTGACCAGGAACAGAACCTGAGACCCTTCCTGTGCAGACGCTCTAACTACTGAGCAACACCACCCAGGCCATTTTTTTTTTTTTTAAAGAACTGTGGTTAAATATACATAACATGCCATAGCTGGTTTGGTTCAGTGGCAAATGTTTCCCTTCACTGAAAAACAAATCTTTAAAAAAATATAGTCCTAACCGTTTGGCTCAGTGGATAGAGCTTCAGCCTGCGGACTGAAGGGTCCCAGGTTTGATTCCGGTCATGGGCATGTACCTTGGTTACAGGCACATCCTCAGTAGGGGGTGTGCAGGTGGCAGCTGATCGATGTTTCTCTCTTATCGATGTTTCTAACTCTCTATCCCTCTGTAAAAAATCAGTAAAATATATTTAAAAAATAAATAAATAAATAAATAAAGCCCTAGCTGGTTTGGCTTAGTGGATAGATCTTCGGCCTATGGACTAAAGCAGTGGTTCTCAACCTTCCTAATGCTGCGACCCTTTAATACGGTTCCTCATGTTGTGGTGACACCCAACCATAAAATTATTTTCGTTGCTACTTCATAACTGTAATTTTGCTACTGTTATGAATCGTAATGTAAATATCTGATATGCAGGATGTATTTTCATTGTTACAAATTGAACATAATTAAAGCACAGTGATTAATCACAAAAACAATATGTAATTATATATGTGTTTTCCGATGGTCTTAGGCAACCCCTGTTAAAGGGTCATTTGACCCCCAAAGGGGTCGCGACCCACAGGTTGAGAACAGCTGGACTAAAGGGTCCCGGGTTCAATTCCAGTCAAGGGCACATGCCCAGTTGCAGGCTTGATCCCCAGTAGGGGGTGTGCAGGAGGCAGCCGATCAATGATTCTCTTTCTTCTTTGATGTTTCTCTCTCTCTCTCCCTCTCCCTCTCCCTTCCTCTCTGAAATAAATAAAAAAATATTTAAAGCCGAAGCCGGTTTGGCTCAGTGGATAGAGCATCGGCCTGCGGACTCAAGGGTCCCAGGTTCGATTCCGGTCAAGGGCATGTACCTGGGTTGTGGGCACATCCCCAGTGGGAGATGTGCAGGAGGCAGCTGATTGATGTTTCTAACTCTCTATCTCTCTCCCTTCCTCTCTGTGGAAAATCAATAAAATATATTTTAAAAAATATATTTAAAAATAAAAATAAATATACATAACATAAAATTTATTTTTAAGTGTATATTTTTGTGGTATTAAGTACAATTTGTGCAATCACTGACTGCATTATTTTTAAAGCACTATGTTCTATTGCATATTATTTTTCCTTGGGTCTTATCTTTTTGCCTTATTTTCTCTTGGTTTTTAAATTTACATTTATTTATCCTATAGTACTCTTGTAAGCCACTAAAAGTCTTTGTCAAATGAGGCAGGATGTAAATGCAATATGTCTGTAAGTACCACCATAAGAAACAGCAGAGTTTAGTAATCATGGGTAGAAGAGTAGTTCCAAATCTTATTTCGATAAAGATTAAAATGTGAGAACCTATGTCAGTATTTTAAACGGTAGAAGGTATTACAGAATGAATTTTCCCACTAGGAGCTCATTATCGGGGGTTTTCTGTCTATAGCAGCAAGAAAAATATTTAGGCCACCATGGTTTTCCAGTGAGAAAATCAGCCCCTGGGTATTGAGGTTCTGAATACACAAAGTACCTGTCAACCAAACAGTCGGATTGACCATACACTGTACTTCATATTTCTCATCCATATGTTCAACCATCTGATGTTTTAGCAAGCTGCTTTAGTAGAGTAACTGGCACAGAGTAAGTGCTCAATAACCATTGTCAAATTAATAAAGGAATCCTCTCATTTCTAACTAGAACCCTGAAGAAAATTAAGACACACCCCCCCCCCACCAAAGAGAAAGAAGAAACTGGAGGCAATAGCGCACCACTATCTGAAAACATTCTCTGCATTGTTTTGTTTACATAATTCATTGCCTCATTCCCCCATTAGAATGCAGTAAACTCCATGAGAGGAGGGACTATGTCTGGCTTGTTTCATGGGAAGCTAGAATAGGAGTACAGAGTAGTATCTCTTTAAATAAAATTTTAAATGAATAGCATAAAAGTTAAGGGCACTCATGGCTTTGAGGACAGGACTGACTTTGAGTCCTGGCTTGTCATTTAATAGCTGCGTAATTTTAAGATAGTTATCAAGCTTCCCTAATAACAGCAGTTCACTCAGAAATTTTTGTGATTTTAAAAAGTGATTTTAAAGTATTTATTACCTAACGGATCATAGTCTGCTTATATTTACTGTGCACATACTATATGCCAGACACAATTCTAAATGCTGAATGTGAATTAACTCATTTAATCTTCACCATAACTCTATGAAGTAGGTGCCATAATCATCTCCATTTTTATAGTCAAAGTGAAGGAGACAGAGAAGTTAAGTAACTTACTATGGTAACACAGCAGACATAGCTTTCAAACAGACTGGCTCTGGAATGAATATATTATACTTCCTCTCAATTAAGGGCCCAATGTTAGCTTTTATAACATAACTAGAGGCCCAGTGCACAAAATTCATGCAGCGGGGTGGGAGGGTTCCTCAGCCCAGCCTGTGCCCTCTCCCAGTTTGGGAGCTTTTGGGGGATGTCTGACTGATGGCTCTTCAGACAGCCTTAGCGCTGCTGCAGAGGGGGGAGAAGCTCCCACCACTGCCTCTGCACTCGCCAGCCATGAGCCCGGCTTCTGGCAGAGCAGTCCTCCCCTTTGGGAGCGCAGGGACCACCAGGGGGCAGCTTCTGCATTGAGCATCTGCCCCCTGGTGGTCAGTGTGCATCATAGCGACTGGTCGTTCTGCCTTTCGGTCTATTTGCATATTAGCCTTCTTTTTAAAACATATTTTTATTGATTTCAGAGAGGAAGGGAAAGAGAGAGATGGAAACATAAATGATGAGAGAGAATCATTGATCGGCTGCCTCCTGCACGTCCCTCACTGGGGATCAATCAGGCAACCCAGGCATGTGCCCTTGACCGGAATTGAACCCGGGACCCTTCAGTCTGCAGGCCGGCGCTCTATCCACTGAGCCAAACTAGGTGGGGCTAGCCATTTATTATATAGGATAACTATTATTACGGTGAGAAGCCCAGACTTTCTGCGATGTTTATATTTACCCAAATGACACTTGCCGCATAATTAAGGGAGAACTAACTGAGCAGATGGAAGGAAAGAACGTACCCAGTGAGGCGGTTTCGGATAATTTTGACGCTCATCACGGTCTCCCCCATGGTGGCAAAGGCTCTGGAGATGAAGTTCTCATCCATGTAGGGCTCCAGCTGCGTAAATACAAGGGCAGAGCGACTCAGGCCAGCAGGCAGGCTCCGGCTTCCGGCTGCAGAGCCCTGCCCTCAGCTCAGGGGTGGCTACCTGCTGCGGGCGGTGAGGGTGCGGGCAGGTTCTCACCGGCAGAGCGGTCTCAACCGCAGCTCCATCCCTTGCCACTAAACTTGCACCCTCGGAGCCTCCCGCTTGGCCTTCGGAACCCACCCCTCCAGTCTTAACACCCAAGAGCCTGCCGGGGCCAGTGGCGGGTACCATTCCCCGTCAAGAGCGTGTACTTAGGTTGCAGGTACCCCCCGCGCCCCCCCCCCCCCCCGCAAACGGGGCGCCTGAGGGAGGCCACCAATCGACCTGTTTCTCTCGCATCCATGTTTCTCTCTCCCCCTCCCTCCCTTCCACTCTAAAAATCAATGGGAAAAAATATCCCCAGAAGAGGATTAACAACAATAAAAAGACTTTAAACAAACAAAAACAAAGAGCACTTCAAAAGCCTTGGGGTTCCCCCATTCTGTTCCCAGAGAACCTCCCTTTCGCCTCCATGACGACGGCGAGGCCCCAGGACCTCTCCCCCCAGACGCAGTCCCTCCCCCTGGATGCTGGGACCCGCTTCTGTCACCATCCTGTTCGCTTCCATCTTTTTAGGACTCGAGGACCCCTCCCCTTCAGCCCGCCCTCCCTGCTGGCACTAAGATTCTTCCTCGTGGACGCGGAGAGCCGCCCTCACTCACGTCGCCCATCCACAGGCTTGCCGCCATGGCCCCCGTCGGGCCGGACTAGGGGGCTGCGCCGCGCTGGCGCGAGTCCTCCGGCCAGGACCGCCACGGAGCATGCGCAAACGACGCCTTCTGCGCACGCTCCGAAACGCAGCGCCTCGGGCAGCGCCGGCCGGTGCCGCTTCGGAAATGGCTTCGGAATTTTCCGGAGACTCAGTAGGGCGCAGCTTCCGGGTCCCTCTGTCCAAGGCGCGGGGCAGGGTGGACTTCACCCTGCGCAGGTTGGTGGGTTGCTGGGGTAACTGGCTCTCGGGTTTCTTTCTGACTTTTATGTAGTTAAACAGACGTACAAATAACATTTCAAAAGTAATATACGCTCATTGTGGAAACTTGCAAATACAAGTTGTTTTTTTTAAGGTGAAATGTCCCCTTTGGGAGCCGGGACGACCCAGTTCCACGAACTCTGTGGACAAGCCACTGGTCTGCCCCAGCCACCCAGTTCGCACGACGAGATTTTTGTTGAAGCTGGAATGGGATTCCTCCATCATTCCCGTGAATCGCCGGAGGGGGCGGGGTTAAAAGGAGTGTAAATTGGGGCAATCCTGTCATCTCAACCAGTCAATCCCCAGTCTTCTCACTCTGCTTTCTTGAGTCCCACATCCACTACCCTAATCCAAACCGCCAGGGACTTTAACCTGTCCCTGGAAGGCCTTGGTAAACACGATTTCGATGACTTGAATCTTGAGTTTAACAGTGTCCCAGGCCATCGGCTCACTTTGGTGCCCATTTCTCAGAATGGGACCTTCTGTTGGTGATAGTTGTCTCAAACAGTGAAGTTCATAACAGATGCTTCCGGATCCCTTTGTGGGACTCCCAGCTGGGCTGGTGGGCCCCTATGTCAGGCACTCATGGGTCTGAAAACGAGATCCAACCAAGAGTTGCCAAAATGGCCAAATTTCACCGCAATAGTAATGTAGTGGTTGGGTGCTTTGGCTATAGATTCAAACAAATGGAGCACCAATCCCAGCCCCTTCTCAATTATTCTGGCAAGTTATTGAACCTGAGATGAATGTGGATAATAGCAGTGCTTACCTTATGCAGCCGTGGGCAAACTACGGCCCGCAGGCGGGATCCGGCCCTTCGGCAGTTCTATCCAGCACGCGGAGCCCAAAGAGCGGAGGGTTCTCTTGCTCTCCCCTCCGCTCCTTCACCAGCAGCAGTGTTAACATGTATTAGTTCACACAAACACTCCATCCATGCTTTTGTTCCGGCCCTCCGGTCCAGTTTAAGAACCCATTGTGGCCCTCGGGTCAAAAAGTTTGCCCACCCCTGTGGGCAAATATAGTGTTGTGAGACCTTCAAATGATAACTTATAGCAATATATTTAGTTCTGTTTGACAACCTGTGCTGTGCTCTTTGCTTACTATTTTTAAAGTATGGAAAAATGTTAAATACTTATTTAGAATATAAGCTTCATGAGACAGGGATCTTAATACATTTGTTCCTAATAAAATTCCTACAATGTTTGGGGGTAGGTATGCACTGAAAAAAAAATTTGCTGAATTTATGATATAAACAGCAGTCCCTTACCCCATCTATCCTCACCCCCAACTCTCACTCTATTGGGGCAATGATTTCGAAATCTTTTCCTTAGAATGTACCTGCATATTTCTAAATAACATATTCATTTATAGTTTCAGATATTTTAACAACTGCCCCTCCTACATACATACTTCATCTTAATTTTTGTGAAAGCAGTATTAAACATTTACAGTATTTACAGCTGAGCCACATGGGGTACTATGACTGCATTTGTTTTGGGGTAATCAATCCAGGATGGAGGAAGATGAGGGAAGATAGAACTAAGCATTTGAAAAACAAGGCAATTAATTATTAATTCCAGGGAATAAAAAAAAGTACAATGGTTATACTAGAGAACACTATGTGCCTGACAGTTCTGATATACATAAGGCACCAACAGAGAACTTTACAATTCTTACATGCAATACAAGGAAAAGGACTTGAGTTCTGGGTTCAGGTAGAAGCTGATTTAGATTCTAGCCTACACTTCAACTCTCAGGGACTGTTTCCTGAGACAGCAATTACTTTAAAAGCTGGTGTGAAATGAGGATTAAACAAACTATTATTGCCTATAAAATGCTCAGCACAATGCCTGGCCCATTTTGGTCCCACTCCGTAAGAGCTATTATTAAAAACAAGGCACTTCCAAGCCGCTATACTGTCAAAAGGGGAAAACTCCAATAAATCTAATCCAATTTAAATTGGTGGTGGATGGGTATGAGGTGGATGGGGGAGAGGGATCGATCAAAGTGTGATATTTTTTTTCCTTTTAAGAAGTCAATTTCTAATCAGTATAGTGCCTGTATCAAAACTAAAAATTCAAAAGGGGGGGAAAAAATCACAGACTACATTTTAAGTTATTTTACATTACATTCATTTTTCCAAGAGTCATTGACATCCGAGAAAAATCCTGCTGGCCCTAATAAAAATGTCGTCTTATTCATATACAGACCTGCTGTATCAACAATATTCATCGCAGCTTTCTGAAATTATAGAAACGTTCTATAGCCCAATACCATAGGCACTAACCACATGTAATTATTGAGGACTTGAAATGTGGCTAGTGCAAAAAGGACGTTAATTTAAAATTTTTTACACATTTTAATTGATTTAAATGTAAATGGCTACATGTAGCTAGTGACCATCATATTAGAAAGGCCAGCTCTATGATTCTGTTTGCTCAAATGCCTGTGAAAATCTACACCAATATGAATAAGTTGTCTTAGGAGTTACTGTGCAGTTAATCATGTTTTATCAATTACATGAGCTGTTGAAAATGATAAAACAGCAAGCTTAGTAAAAGTATTTGTAGAGATGTACCATCCTGATTTGGGATTAGGATGTTGAAAGAACCATTCCATGTCTCTCATATTATGCAGCATAAATTTTCTTAAATACAGTGATTCCTGAAACATAAATACCTAAGCAAAAATAAAATCTTTTTTGATTTGTATGGAACAGGCACAGCTGACAGGCACACATCAGGACATCACCTAAGTCCTAGTCTTGACAAAGTTTATCCTGCCCTTCCCAACACAGCAGATGTTCCCTTAAAAAAGCAGGGAATGTGTAGAAAACAAGTGGCCTGTTTTATAAAACTCTAAATTTATTCAAAATGTTATAAGATTTCACTCTCTCTTCTAAAATACTTTACATTAAAAAAAAACCACCTGCTTGGTATTTTCTCAGACACGGTACAAGCAAGCTTCTGCTTCCCTTTCTGGGAACCAGCCTCTGCCCATCCAACCCTCTTCCCTGCCCTCCCTTCACTCTTGATATTGCTGTTTGTTTATAAAACCCTCCTTCCCTCGCCCCCATGTCCTGCTCTGCAGGCCAGCTTCCTTTCCAGACTTCAGGCAGGTGAGGCAGGCTGGATGGGCAGTGCAGGACAGAACACTTGTGCTTCTGGGAGAAAAGCTGATTGGCCTTTTTCTTGATCAAGTGGAGGATCACTCTTTATTTGCCCCTTTGGACACCTGTTCAGGGCCAAATACTTGGCTTGGGCTTGCCCATGGCTGGTAGCCCTGCCCCTTCTCCAGTTTTCCCCAGGCATAGGTGCATGACAGCTGGGTCCGACAACTGTACCATCGGTCTGCCTGTGGACTGTGAAGGACATAAGAGTGGCACATGACTAGAGTAGGGCTCGATGGAGCCCCAACTCCTCAGGGTGTGGGAATCAAACATTCCAACAAAACCCACTCCCCTCTTCCATTCCGCCCTCTCCATCCTATAGGTTACAGGCTAATTCCAGAAAGGAGGAATAAAAAAGAGGAAAGTGATTCTGTTCCGTGGATGGAAAAAAAGGCAGGTGATGACAAAGTACTTGGGGCTGGGGAAGGCCTGCTGGAGTCTGTAGTCATCACAGCTTCTGTGTTCCAGGAGGGAGGGGTGGGGCCGGGAGCCAGGCCCTAGAAGCTTCATCAGCTCTGTTGCTTGTCCCTGACTAATAAGACTGTGTGCTGGCCCCCGCTGGACACAGATAGAACCAGGCGGTTCTCCAGCTGTTTGCCTGTCATCTCCACGGGGATCCAGGCATCCTCCTCCTGTCCCGTGCCCAGCTGGTAGTTGGTGCCCATGCCCCAGGCAAAAACACGACCTACAAGAGAGAGACACAGAGGCAGCAATCTTCAGAATCCATAGCCTTTCTTGAGGACAGAAGCCTGGGACAGAAGGGTGAATTTTAGCCTTGGCCTATAGCAGCCTGGCAATGACCCAACCTCTGGGAGTTCAGGGAAGCTGGGAAAAGCCAGGGAGATGATGGATAAGAGCTCTGTCATCCTGGGACCACAGCCCTTAACCACACCAATTACTTCTCCCTATTCCTAGGCATGGCATTCAAGACCCTACTGTGACTAGCCACTCCAAAAAATCCTACACCACCCTCCACCCCAGGACCAGCCACCTTTGAGACGGCTCTGGATGTTTCTGTGCCAGGATGCCCTCCTTTGCTTATCAGAAATCTTCAAGGTGTAAGTACAAGCCCCACTTCCTCAGGAACTCTACCACATCAAGCACCTCCGCTAGCCTGACTTCTCAAGGCCTCCATGGCTGTGACCCTCATCCACTCAGGCTTTGGTGACTGCTCACTTACACCCTCCATGGTGGGAAATGTAAATAAAAGCCTGAATCAGGAGTCTGGAGACCTGGGTTCAAGTTCTGCTGCCTGGCCAGGTCTCGGTTATATATCCTCTTTTGCTGTTTTTTCCCCCCTCTACAGAACAAATTACCTTTATTAAAATAATTTGTTTATTCCCCTGGCCAGTGTTGCTCAGTGGAGAGTGTTGGCCCATCCACCAAAGGGTTGTGGGTTCGATCCCCAGCCACGGTCATGGCACGTGTGGGAGGCAATCAATTGATGTTTCTCAAATCAATATTTCTCCCTCCTCCCCTTCTGCCTTTCCACTCTCTCTCTATAAAAAATAATTTTAAAATTCATTTTAAGTTCATCAAAGTCAGAGCTTTTGACAATCAGGAGAAAAACTATGTTTTCATAAATACTGCTCTGCAGCTCAGCTCCATCTCATGGTGGCCATCAGAGCCTGCTGGGCTATTTGACAGGAGTCACAATCCCCAGGCCCCAATCAGACTGAATGTGGGCAGCCCCACTTACCATCCTTGGTCACAGCATATCCCACAGAGGCCCCACAAGCCACTGAGGAGACGATGGGCAGCCTGGAGATGAGGGTGGGCATGCTCTTCTCCTCGGCACCCTCTCCCAGGCCCAGCCTCCCGTACTCAGCCCGGCCCAGGCTGTATGCTTTTCCTGTGGGAGGAGGGAGAGAGTAGACAGGAGTTGGACTTAAGGTGTGGGTGGAGTAGCAGAGGGTGTGTTCCAGGTTGGCCAGCTGAGTTCCCATATCCATGGGAGCTGGTCCTCATTCCCTGG